ACAGCGCTGCAGTGTCAGTTTATGGCGCTCCGGCACTCAAACATCTATCTTGATTCGATACGACGCCATATCTAGATCGCGGCACCGCTCCGCTCTCTGTCGTTCAGTGTTTGGGTGCTCGGGAACACAGCGTGGGGCACTCGGGTATGCAGCATCAAGGCGTTGTACGAAAAGAAAAAAAAAATACAGGTACCCAAATCCAAGCAGGGGTGAACCCTCCCGCACCCCCCAACAAGCACGACAAATTTGAGGTCTGAGGCAACAAAACAACCCAATTGATCAACACAATCATATTCCAGACATAACACCATCATCAAGTTAGAATCATAGCTAATGGTTGTATTGTCATGTCAACTAAAAATAAGGCATAAATGAGTTGATCAAAAATTCATTAATGATGCAATTTTATAAAAATTGAGAGGTTATACTTTTAAGAAACTATAATTCCTTTATAATAAGTTCAAAATTAAATCACTACATCAATATTTTTTAGAATTTTCAAATTAGATTGATAATTTAGAAGATTTTCTTGAATGTTATAGTCTATTTGATCCCCAAAGAGTTGAATTTTCTATATCAAAATTAACAGGACATGTTCAATAATTTTGATGAATATTACTACTAAATCTACATAGTTTGAAATGAAACAATAACTTAAAGAGCAAAATTTATCATTTGGTGATCATAGGAATCAACTACATGATTAATTTAAAAACTATAAATAATGTAACTAAAATATGAGAATTCTGCAAAATTTATGAGTTGTGTGGCTAAATATTATTTGCCTTTAGATTATTATGTTGCTATTATTTATTTCATGAAAACTATTAAGTAAGAATTAGGAAAGAATTAAGTTAAAATTCAACCAAAACACTAGATACAAGACCACTCTCATATTAGGATTGTTGCACCTATATGTTTATTCCTACGGAAAACCAAATAGCATCATCCATAGCCCATTGAAAACACACCAAAACTAGAAATATATATATATATATATATATCTATTTTTATTGAAGAAATTGTAATACATGAATGTTTTTAAGGATGCATTAGATGTAGAAGATGATCTATAGTTATAACATGAATCAACATTTGATGTTGTTGAATATATGAACTTACATTAAACCATGTTCATGAACCTAAATCTATACTTGAGCAAAATTAGATTTTAAAAGAGAAATTGAGCATGAGATCGTATATGAACATAAACTTCTAATAGATATTGAACTTATGCCTGAATCTAAAACTATCATGTCCATTATAGCTGATTAATCAATTGAGCTATCTAAAAATACAACTCTAGATGAATTATTTGTAGATACAATTACTATGATGAATAATTAAACTAATATTAAATTTATTTAGTTCTTAGTTCCTTGATATACTAATTTGTAAAAATAACCTTATAGAGAAAGAGCTAATTTATATCAATCAAAAAATTTCATCATCGCAAATGCCTTAAAAGAAACCTTAAATTTGAAAGTATATCTATATGATCAATTCTAAATGTACAGAATTCATCACAAATAAAATTTAAGTCATTTGCATTAAAATTCTTTAAGGAAATTGCCCACCTGTATGCACACATCATTTACGCATAGCTAATCTATTTTTAAATTTTCTTTGTCATATAATCCTCTAAAATAAGCTATCTGTACTCGTTAGTATCTCTTAAAAAGCATGTTAGTATTTTTAATATTTTCATTATTAATCTCATATCATATTAGCATTTACATGATTTGTTTAACTTGTGTGAAGATATTCATAGATATTTGACTATTAATTATAATAATTATAAGTCTATAATTGATATAGATAGGAGACACGTGGAATTGAAATCATGTGAAAAAAAAAATTTGGTATGTTTGAATAAAAAATATTATAGGAATCCAAGAAAACAAAGAAATTTAAAATCACTATATGTTGCTCCAACCCTAGCTCTAATTTAATAATTTTGCATGAATAAATGAAATGCATTTGCTTGAAAAGATATGATATATAAGTTCTAGTTATGCACATGCTATAATATGGATATTAAGCTTATAGAAGAATATAATTTGATGTTGCAGTTACAGCATACTTTTTTATTCATTTTTCTCATTTCAGGATATTTGGAAAGTTGTTTTTTGTGAAAATAAAAGACTAGATAATATTATAAAAGTAACAATGAATGATGTAAAGTAGCTACCTAACTAAAGCTAGCCGACATGCACACAAGAGGCATGCTTGCAAAAAACTTAGAGAGTCTCCCCAAGAAAGGAAGTCACAACAATAGCCAATAAAATAAGAGGTGGTCAAACAATCGCTTAAAGTCAAACACAATCCATCAATAGTGACTTGAGGATAAAAGTTGACCATCCCAAGTGAAAGCACTATCAAGAAGGATCATTCCACAAATATAAAATGAAACAACGGTCCACATACCATAGTACTTGTAATAACCGGAGCAGTTTCGCGAACATTCGCGAAACTGGAGCAGTTTCGTGAACAAAGAAGGGACGGACGGTCGGGTATCGTGCGAGAACGAGGTAGGTTTCTTCTTTCTCCATTTTTAGCAAATGATTGTCTTCTAGGATAGGAAATAATGATTCATTTTCATTCTTATCGTTATCAGAGTATTATTTTGGGAAATATTTGAAGAACAAGAGAAACGGACAAGAAGGATTAAGGGAAGAAGATTTGTTGATTTTTTTTTTCCTTTTCTTATAAATTTTGTAGATTTCTTCACTTAACCGCTAATAATATATTCACAAAGAATAAGGAAGAGATTGAAGCGAAGAGAAAAAGGATTTTGGGAGTTGAGAAGTTCTCATTTGTAAGTGATTTTATTTTTATATAATTTTTATTATATTTTGTTATGGAATTATAATTTTAATATAAATATGAGGGTTATTGTTTAAATTTTAGGATTTTAGAAAGTGAAAGATCAAGTCATAAGTATTGATCCCGCGAGGATTCAACAAGAAGAGATATTGATTCAAGGGAAGATCAGGCATCGAAGGCTTGAAAAAAAAAGAAAGTTCAGCAGCTTCAAGATACATTTCCCCTCTGATTAAATCCTTGATAACACCTGCAAAGAATAAGAATCAGCTACATCCATATGAACGAGTTCAATTTTTTGTCGATATTGCTAAACAATAATATATATATATATATATATATATATATATATATTAAAGACATTTTATAAATGAATATGATGGGACATGTATAATGAAATAAGTTTAAATGAAGTAAAGGAAAAGAAAATGAATAAGGTAAAGCTAAGGTACACCAATGTAAAGATAAATTTTTATTGTATTTTAAGGAAATTCTATGCATATTAATTGAAGATGAGAATTACCCACTGAGTTTACATTGTAAACTCAACCCATCCTCCTAATGTTTCAGGTAAAGTTTTCAGTGAGTAGAAATGGCTAAAAGAGAAGAATTCGTCTACAGAAGACGACGTGCAAATGACAACAGGTAAAATATATTTTGTGTTTAGTGGCTCTTTAACACGAATGAAGTAGTATAATGTTTAATGAATTTTATCGTTCGACTTTTCGTACCCGCCTCGTTAGATCGAGCATCCGGGCCGGGTCGTGACAGGACTCCACCTTCAATACTTAACTAGGAAGCAGACCTACCATTAACCTCCTTGATGAGCATTTCTGAAGCGATTTTTTCTCTATCAAATACCCAATGTTTCTCTCTTTCAATATGAAATATGTAATGGTAACCAAAAATGACTAATAATGCCTACATATAGGTGGTAGGGGAAGAGTGAAATTGCCTGTTAAATGACGTATGAGAGATTCATAGATGTTGGATGGCCCCACCAAAGATAGGATGCAAAATTAGGCTAGTTAGAAATAAGGCTAGTTAAAGGGAACTAAAGAAAAGTGAACCTAATCCTCTAGTGCCAACTTGCAGGAAGAGCATATCTCATCACAACGAACCCCCCAAATGACGAGGTGATATGCCATTTTGAGCTTTCCGAAGAAGGCTTACCAAACAAAGATGGAATTATTAAGAGCATGCAAATTGTTTGAACTAAACAAATTCTACCAAGACTCCTATAGGTTATACAAGAGAGCGAGGAAAGATGGCCCTAAAAAGTATCAAAAAGGGTCAAGACCATTGTGATTTTGAAGGATGCAATGGAATCTATCAAGAGTAAAAGCTTTGATATGACATAATTGTAGAACCCAACAAATGTTCCTATCTTTGACATATAGAAAATAAAGAATGATAGCCATTACTTATAAGTGCATCCCTGACAAAGAGAGGTAGGCCTAGTCATCTAGATCGGCACTCAAGAGGATGACAATAATTTTTCTTGGGAGAAAAGTGAGTAGGAAAGTAGGAACATCGAAGATTCCTAAAGTATTTAACCTCTCATCACCTTGTTGATTGGCATGATAAATTTAAACTTTTCTACTTGGTTGAATCAACTTCGATTACTCACCAATCACATAGAATTCAAAGTTCTTATCAACAATTTTAACAAGAAATTACCAATGCTAACTCAAACAGTATTACCTTGGATTAGATTTAAGTGAAAATAAAGTAATTTGCAAATATAATCAATATATCAAAATGGTTGAATTTTATACTATCCAATCACAAACTAAATATTACCCTCAAATTCCCCACTCGACAATCTATATTCTTGTTTAAACCTTTCCACAATACATTTTCGAATTGCAGATATGATTTATCCTTATTATTTTTTATAGGCGTGCAAGTTAACCTTAACTCAAGCAAAGCAAATAACTGAATATTACTAAAATAAGTCTCTCAAAACCATGAATAATAGTGACTTAATCATGACTCACTTCATTCTAGTTTTGTGGAATATTTGATTAATAATGACTCACTCATTTTATAATCACCTTATCTAAAAGAAAACATTAACAACGAACTAGATTAAAAAATCATGCATTTGCTATCTCTCAGGGCAGCATCCATCAGATACAATTCATCAAATAAAATAAACTCTCATTGTTTCGTACCTCCAAAATGGTGTAGGACGATAGATGCCGCAACAGTAACATTCAGTGATGCTGTTCCACAGCCATATTGTGGAATATAAACGAAGAAGTCGCAGATCTCGCACTCCTTAGCTGAAAGTCCGGTACCCTTCCTCGGATAAAGCCTAATTCCATTAGCATGATAACCTTAACACAAAAGAACACTTCTACAAACTTTTCCAATAATGCACACCTCGTTGCCGAGAAGGAAAGCGGTGCTCCTTCTGAAAGGCTGCTGAGTGATAGGGACTGCCCCATCAACAATCTCCACGCCACAGATATCGCAGTTCCTCTCCTCCTGAAAAACGAATAGGAGGGGTTAGGTTAGGTTTAGATTGGAGATAAATGGGAATTGAAAGAGACAATAACTTTCTAGGATAGGAGGAATGCCAATGCCTTCAGGTATAGGCGGGCTTGAGAGAGTGAATGGAAATGTCGGAATCGGAGATGGGCGGTGGAACCGTGACTGCCAAAGGCGTTGAAGTCACGGCGCCCGACGAGAACCATCTCTGAGACACCGAAGGCAGTGGCGCTTCGGACCATCGTCCCGATATTGTGTCTCTTCGCTACGTTGTGAATGATCAGCACGCTCTCCGCAGCCGTAGGAGCTGGCGCCGGCGACGGAGAAGCTTCAGCGGCCGCCATTATTTGGGTCGTTTGTTTGCAAGAAGCGCGGAGCTGGGGTCAGTCGCACTATTTTGATTGCGGTTTGATTTGGCTCGAGCTCGCATCAACAATAAACTATTAGGAGCTTGAGTTAGGTTGGAAGTGACCCAATGTATATTTAATGAATAATTCGAATTTAGTTATATTATCATTTAAGCCCTTTTAAATCAGTAAGTACAACATCATCAACAAGACAACAACAACAATAAACTTTTATCCCATGTGGAGTCTGCTTCATGAATATTTGTTAAGTATTTTGTTCTATTAAAATCAAATTTTCATTTAAATCTAATAAAAAAGTATCTTATAACACTTTCTAATCAAATCTTTTTAGATTTATCTTTTTTTTTTAATATAGTCCGGGTCTAATACATCTACTCTATTATCAGGGACAGCGAGATGTCATCGTTTTAAATGAACAAACCATCTAAGGTGACTCTCTAACCTTATCTGCCATTGGAGCTACTCTAACCTTTTAATATATATACTCATTTCATATTTTATCTCTGAGTGTAAAGCCACTCATTCATATGAGCATTATCATCTCTGCAACACTTAATTTTATACTTCTTCTTTAATGACCAACATTTAGTGTCATAAAACATTGAAAGTGTCACCATCTTATAAAAATTTCCTTTAAATTTTAGAAGTACTTTTTCTATCCCACAATAGGACATTTACATTCCTCCACTTCAGCCATCCAACTTGAATTCCACCGTTAAAGTCCTCATATTTCACCATCGTTTTGAATTCGAGATATATAAAAGATACACTTTTTTTAAATGACTAGATCACTCAATGCCACAATTGTGCAAGTAGATCTATTAATGCTAAAATTAAAATCTATGTATTAGGTTTTAGATCTACTCAAATGAATATTTTTAGACTTTAAGGTTGATCTCCATAATTTAAAATTTTTTCCAACTTCCTCTCTAATCTTATCAACAAGAAGAATATCATCAAGAAAAAGTATGCATTAGGGTATATGTTCTTCCAAATGTCTAATCCGAAGATCTATGGCTAAAGCAAAACGATATGGGCTACAAGATGATCCTTTATGTAATCCAACTAAATACAAAAATATTTGATTAAATCACCTTGTGTTTGAACACAAGTAACTGCTCATATATAGTGTTTGAACACAAGTAACTGCTCATATATAAATATCCTTAATAAATTAATTATAAGTATCATTAACTCTTTTCTTTTATAGAACTCTCTAGAGCATTTATCTTGAACTTTATCATATGTTTTTTTTATATATATAAATAAGCAAATATCATATGTAGATCCATCTTACTATCTATAAACTTCTCCATCAAATCTCTAAACAAATGTATAACTTTCATAATAAACCTACCCTGGATGAATCCAAACTAATTTTGAGAAACATAGTATCACATCGTAACATGTGCCCAATTAATCTTTCCCATAATTTTAATGTATGACACATTAACTTCATTCTTCTATAATTAGCACAATTTGTAGATCATCTTTATTCTTAAAAATATGAACAAATATATTTCTTCCACTCATCTTGCATCTTGTTAGTGATCAAAATAATATTAAAATTTTAATAATTAAATCAATTTACATTAGAAATTAAATAAACAATTAAGTCCTTTCAAGTGAATAATAAATTTAATTTCTTTTTCAATTTAAAAGGCTAAACAAATTTAAATTGAATATAGCTTAATGCATTTATTTATTTCCAAATTTTAATTTATTTGTTGTTCAATAAATAACTTTGATACATCACATAACAAAAATAGCATGATCATGATACAAATTGAAGAAATAAATTTTCAAAATTCTGCTATAGACCAATCAAATTATAATTTCAGTAAATTCGTAGTCAAATTAATCAGCTCAACATAATAAATTCAATAACATCAAAAGTGATATAACCAAGTCCAAATGAGAGATCAAACACTTCAAGCCTACTGTGTGCACCAGGCTCATCGGGTTCAACACCATTATCATCGGACAACCATCAATAAGCCACCGCCACTTAACCTCCATCATCAACCTGCCATTGTATAACCTTTGATATCATACCAGAACCACCCAACCTTTATCGCCTCCCAAACGCCATAACCAAACCATCATCACTCAGTAATAACCGTCTAAACGCCACTCATCCCTTAGCGAATATATAATATTGTTCTCTGGCATCTCATACATCTATAATCCTGCTTTCTCCAATTTAGAGATGGGTAAATCTTTGTAATCAACACTTACCTAATGAAATATTTTAGTTGGGTCAGCTCATATTTTCCCCCTTCCTGAGTTTTTCACATCAAAACTTGTGTTGCATATCATCTTTTCATTTATTGGTTTAAGTATGGGATCCTCATTTGAATCTATGATATAAAATTATCTCACTTTATTGTTATAAATTTTATCAACATTATTAAAGGATTAATATAATGTTTCTCAAAATCAATCTAGATTCATGATGGATAGATCTACTATGGAAGCTCTACAATTATTGAGAGGTTTGATGGACAAATTTAGAGAGAATAAGGAGGATATACATATGATGTTTATTGATTTAGAAAAAGCATATGATAAAGTTTCAAGTAAAATGCTATATCATTAATGATATGTATGCAATACGTTGTGTTCAAACACAAGGTGGTTTGACCAAGTATTTGCTTATTTCAGTTGGATTATATCAAGGATCATCTTTAAGCATATATCTTTTTGCTTTAATCATGGATATTCTTAATAGACATTTGTAAGAGGATGTACGCCGATGTATGCTTTTTGTTGATGATATTTTTCTTGTTTATAAGTCTAGAGAGAGTTGAAGGAAAACTTGAATTATTGATGTCAACCTTAGAGTCTAAAGGTTTTCATTGAGTGTTATTTTAGTAGTAATAGATCTAGTAGGGGGTTTGTGACTTTGGGTGATCAAGGCATTAAAAGGAGTACATAATTTAGATATCCAGGGTATATTGTTCAAACTGATGGTAAAATAGGTGGGGATATTATTAGTAGAATTAAAGTTGGATGGTATAAGTGGAATAATGCATCAGACTTATTGTGTGATAAAAAAAGTGCCCCTCAAACTTAAGAGAAATTCCATAAGGTGATGGTGAGGCCTTCAATATTTTTAAGGTGCAAATTGTAAATGATTCGCATAGCTGACCCTACATAATGAGATAAAGGTTTGATGTTGTGTTGTTTAATAAAATATATATGTGTTTATAATTCGCAAGTACATTCCCAAGTCACATACCTTATTTATGTAATTTCATCTCTTGTTTCATACTTTTAGGTATTTTCACTTTTAATCCCCCTAACCGCTTGTTGTTTTTTGTTTGAGCAAGTACATAAAGGTTGAGACTCATGTGAGGGCAAATTTGCATGTGACAAACACCTCTCTATTATTCTTCTTTGCCCGCTTGCAATAAAGTGTATCTGAACATGAAGGAGGAGGATATCGATAAAGGCTTTGAATCCCACAACTCTTGTTGCATTCGCTTTGACTTCAATATAGTATATATTAAGTATAATCATTATACTAAATGAATTAACGCTATGTTTATCGTTAAAATGTTAGCCCTCACATCAAAATAAATAGTCAATACCCTTTATTTCATTTCACAAGGCATAATAACATGATTCTTTTATTTATTTTGTAAGAAAAAAGTATTTAGCTTTCAAGCGTGCATATAGCATTAGTAATAAAATAAAAAATTAATAATAAAAAATATTATAAATAATGTAATTTATAAGCTTCATAAATCAATCCTCCTTCATCCACATGGCAAAAATATCATCAGTTTCTTATATGAAGTATGATACTCAATGTTATAATGAATTATTTACCTAATTTACATTCCATAATAATATCATAATGTAGATATTGTGATTGAATGATCTTAAATGTTAAGTGTCTCATAAAATAAAATTTAATTTTTCACAACCCTCGGATCTTGATTTGTAACAAATAAATATAGATTGTGAAATTGACTCATTGGGTGATCAAACAATGTATGGAACTAAAGCAAATGTTACAATTGATGTGGTTAGAAATGTTGTTGAAGGAGGAGTCGTGGAAGTTATTAATGATGATAAAAACTAAAATTCATTTGAAATGAGGAGGAGAAATAGTATTTCAAAAGTTCAGAAAGACTTTATTATAATTAACTTGAAAATTGTTGATAAAATGTGGAATGCAATCATTACAAGTTATATATATATATAGATAATAAATAAGGATGGTTTGATGGAGGGGATAGATACGAACTATATCATGAAGTGCCATGATTTATAAGGAAATGACTAGAATGTCTCTCTCATGAAATCTATAAAAAACTCAACTTCTTCACAATTGAGGAGGTTGGGATGAGGCTACAAGAAGAATTCCATATGAGAGAATCTATAACACTACTTGCCAACATTTGACATCCATTGTTGCTAGCAACATTGATGTCCTTCGTTGCCAACAAGGCTAATGTACGCTATCAACACAAACATTGATGCTTGTTGATGCTAATAAGGTCATTGTATGCTCTTGCCAAAACATCAAAGCACTTCATCAAATAACAAAGTAGATGTGTGTCGTCAACATTAACGCCGACACCAACAAAACCATCGTTCGCTATCACCATTAAGGTCAACGTCATACATCGACACCAACGTTAATGCCCATCCTTGCCAATAAGGTCTATGGCTAACATTTTTAATGACACTGATGCTAATAAGATATTTGCTTGTCATTCTTAGCAATGTTGTCATTTTTTATTGCCAATAAAGTCTATGTAACTATTAACACCAAATGTTAAAGCCCGTCAATGCCAACAAGTTCACTACTCACCTTTGTCAATAATATCGATGTCTATCTTCATTAACAAAATCGACACATGCCATCAACACTAATGATAATACCTTCCAATGATAATAAGGTTGCAAACCATCATTGCATATAATATTGATTCTAGTTGATACTAATAAGATTGTATGTCATCACTACTAATATTGATGTATGTCATCACCAATGTTATAACACACGCTTTCATCACTAACATGAACTCTTACCGACATTAACAAAGTTAGTATGTGACATTGACACTAAAAAAAATGTCTGACATTAACATGAATGCTAATAGTAACATTAGACGTCCAGTTTGGTGCAAATGTCCAAAGTTGACACTAAAGTTGACGCTAAAGTTGACATTCAACATGGGCTTATGATACTCGGTGTCAATGCCAATCCTCGCCAATAAGGTCGATGCTTACCATTTACCAGTTCAACCGTGAACTGATCATATAATCGGTTCGATCCCCCTTAAAAATGACCAAATATCAAATCGATTTGAAAATGGTTTGAACTGTAGGTTCAACCAACTAATTGTTGATTATTTATCTTTTTTATATTTTTTAAATATACATCATTAAAATTAAATTTATTTATCTATTTATTAATTATGAATAGTCAAACATGAATGGTTTTTTTTTGGGACATTTAGACCATTTAAGGCAAACTCATACACACAACGCATACATAAAGACTCGAACCCAAGACCTCTTAGTTGGAAGCATAAGCTCTCAACCAACAGGCCAAGATGAGCTGTGTAACATGAATGAATTATAAATGTAAAATTATAATGTGAATTTAAGAAATAATTTATGAGTGCAAAATTCATCTAAATAGATAATACAAATTAATAATAATTTGTGTTAAATTTAACTTAAATTAGTAATAATTTATATTACATTTTAAAGTTTATATATGAACTAAATTTATTTTTAGCCACAAATTATCTTGCTTGCATGAATCTCGAGGCAAAATCAAGTTAGAAACTTTAAAAATGAAATTTGAGACCATCACAACTCCGATTCCAGCAAACTTATAATCGAATTGAATGTCTCGGAAATACAAACCCAACGACACCAAATTCGACTCAATTCGAGCCCAAATGAGTCCAAATCAAAGACCTGAAGCACATTTGGAAAGTTCAAACCATAATTTGGATTGTCAAATGGTCTTCAAACGTGACATTCTTATAGTCAAATCGAGCGGCTCGACGAGATGAATCCAACGAGCCCAATATCAACAAACTCTGACATCATTGTGACATTCAAATCCCCAACGAATGGTCTATGATCAAGAGAATTAACATCGGCCGTTAATTCAAATCACTCCCAAAAAATCATTGATTTTCCCCTTATTTATTGGCCACGCCACTCTCATAAAATTATAAATTGACCACTCATTCTTCATTGAGGGGAAATAAGGGGCTTAAGGAAGAAAAAAAGAAGAAGTGAAGGAAGAGAAATAAGAGTTCTCTTGCCACCAGACTCCTCCTCGACCACCATCGTACTTTCATATGGCAACCAACCGACGCCGGAATTAAGCAAGGAAGCAAGAATAGAAAGGGAGAAGAAGAGAAAGAAGAGAAGAGAAGGAAGAGACTCCTTCTCGACCATCGTTGGACTTTCACCCGGCAACCAACTAACGCCAGAATTAAGCAATGAAGCAAAAGAGAAGGAAGAAAAATGAAAAGAAGGAAGAGAGTCCTCCTCGACCACTGTCGAACTTTCCCCCGACTGCCAAATGAGTCCGTAAGTCTGCCCAACTATCGACTGACGCTGGAGTTCTGCCCGACATCCGATTGACACCCGGAGTTCTGCCGGACCATCACCTGACACTGGATTTCCGCCCGACCACTCAACGTCACCGAATTTCCGATCTCTTTTTCTAACTAAACTTCAATATGAGATTATTGTAATATGATCGTCCTCAGTTTCAGGGACGAGTCAATCACTTGTAACATAAACAAACACTAGTTGAATCCTTTCAACTGTGTTGACCCTGTGGGTTTTCCCTTTTCCAGGGTTTCCACGTAAAAATTATGGTGTTGCAAATTTCTTCTATTTGTGTGCTGGATATCCGTACAACGATGAGATGAAAATTTTCTGACTCTATCGCCGCATATATTCTAACCCGCAACAATTATTATATTATTTATTTTTTATTCAAATAATTATAATATTTATTACATTATCCAAATCAATCTCCGATTATGATTCGACATTTGATCCGATTATCACGACCTTGTTTACGGTCCCCAATAAGACTTACATATGATATTATTCAAACTACACATGAATTTTATTCAATATGTGATGAAATATTGTTCGAATCTTAATCAAACTTTTTTAAATTATTATTTGAATATTGTTCTATTTTAATTCATAGCAAGGTTCGAAAAGGGATTGAAGAAATTCAAATAAGATTGGAAAGTATTATAAAATTCATATATAACTCCCGAACGGGTCGTCCAAATCTTATTTCTTTTTTTATAGGGTAATTTAGTTCAACATTCGCGTATATATACGTAGTTTAGGGCATAGCTATATAAAGTGAAAATTCCCTAACAAAGTGGGCGTCATCTCCAAGTTAACATTTTTTTGTTTTTGCGCCGGATTCTGGCCACGAGGAAAATAAGAGAAAGAGGGGATGCTTAGTTCCTAAGATTTTCACCCTAATCTTCGCAGCCACGATGTCTTCACCGGGCGAAGTACAGCGTCAGAAAATAGCTACTTTCCTCCAAGCCCTTTGCGCAGCTAAGTATGTGCGGGAGGACAACGTTCCTTGCCAAATCGAGGAGGTAATCTAGATTTGAATCCGTTTTTTCTCCTTCTGTTAGTTTCTGGTGTTTTCATGAACAAGGGACTAATGGATTTCACTTTTTCGTTGCAGGGACTCTTCCTGGGATCTGTGGGGGTGGCGTGCAACAAGGAAGCTTTGAAAAGTTTAAACATCACGCATGTGCTGATTGTTGCCAACTCTCTTGAACCTGCCTTCCCTAATGATTTCATTTACAAGAAGATCGAAGGTGATCTACGTTCTTCTGTTTTTGTGTACATAGCTAATCATGAAGTTTTATTATCTTTAAATTATATAATTTAGAGAAGATGTCAATGAGGGCGTCTCCTATACTTTAAATTTTCTTGTAATAGGTGATAACTTTACAATACATTCAAGAAAACCATGGCCATACTTGTTAACTTGACAGGTATTTTCTTGAGAAACTAGGTAGGATGCAAGTAAACTTGGTTTAAAGTTTATGATATGTTTTTTGAAACATGCTCTAGATTTTAAAGATATTTAGTAATTTTATAACGTATTTATGAACTTGATTGATTTATTTGTACATGCATATATTCTGAATGTAGGGATGGTCGAATGGGATTTACTAGGTGAATAGTTCGATGCATTGTTTTAGGTATTATAAGGAATTTGACAAGTTGAAGATTGGTTGAATTCAAAAAGCAATACAAAGTCAATGATATCTTCTACAAGTTCTTATAAACTGGTTATGGTTAGAGTCTACTCAATAGGTTTAGGTTCTTCCTCTTGTTATTTGTGACTTTCTATGCCAACTTGTATCTCAGTGGGTCTAATTTAGGTTTTCCTGTTTTACTTTGGGTTCCAGGCTGCCCAAAGACAAGTGAGAAATTTTAGTGGTTGCCTTTTTGATGGATGTAATGTTATTTTCTATTTATAATGTATGTTTTCAAAATATATATATATTTTTGGAAGTTACGTGACACAAACACCATAAATCTTCATTTGTCCAAGAAATATATCTATGGATGTCATTGGCACTATGTCACATTAAACATGTTTTGAGATCTAGATTTTCTTTGAATTATTTTAGAGTAAATAGTTGATTACTTTAATTGGTTTATTAGTTAAAATTCCATTATAAGCTTCTTAACTTTTGGTTGTTATTGGCATTGAGCTGTAATTGAACTTTATAATCCAGAGAATCAAGGAATTCTACTTGGTTGTGAGCAAATCTTAGTTTCTTGTTGGGCTAGTGCAATCTGAAACATTGTTTTTCATGTAAAAATTTCAAGATTTGATACTTTGAGGACACAGTTGCATCAACATTGATCTTGAAGCATATGTGTTTGATATGGTGCGTCCGGATTGACTCTCAAATTGATTCAAGGCATTAGAATTTATGGAAATAATTCTACAACTAAGGGTTCAAGTGCAAGCAATTATCTTTGAATTGCGTTTTGATATATAATCACCGTCTCTAACCTAATGGAGCCATTTGGATGCAAGTAGGAATCAATCAATCTAGATTTAGTTAAAATTATTCAAGCATGACTTGTATATCTTTATGGTGTACATTCTGAGAATTGTTTGGTTATCTAATTATTAAATCCATCCAAATCCTTGGATTGTTTAGAAGATTTGGGTGTTAAAGGTATTTGAATGATTTTGTAATTAAAGCCTACTAAATCATTAAAATTCCTAATACTTATGTTAATACTTATGATTAGTGACATTAATTTTGATCCTTTAACTTGTATATCTCATTCCATTAAAAAGAAGATACAAGAATATCCCTTAAATTTTCACTTGTGATTCTAAGTAGAATTACTAAAAATAGGATAGTTATATTTTTCACTGAAATTTAAGCATATTATGTATAATCATTTAACCATTGAGTTCCATCATAATTAGTTAAGCAATATCAATATAGCAATGTCAACTTAACATTGTCAACATAATGACCTTAGAATTTCTCCGTCAATAATGCTTGTGCCAATCACATTCCAGTAGTGAATATGTCACATATCCAAAGTCCAAACAAAAAATAGAGTGTAGAAACTTTAATGAGAATAATGTAGGGGGAACTTCAACTTAATCCAAACCTTCTCTTCGTACAAAATGTACATAAATGTAAATTGTTGGCTTGCATATAGTTGTTGATAACCAAGTTCTCTATGATTCTCTCCCAATATGTGCAGCGTCGATACAAGAATCCCTTGAAATCATTTATAATAGTGTGACATAAAGCCTTTTTAGTTGTAGTAACGATTTTGATATTATTGGGGTAACAATGATAGGCATACCATTGATGACCCCATGGAATCCTAAAAATTGACAACATTTTATTCCATATTTTGAATATTGAATTATTAAATCAAAGTCGTATCATGAAATTGGGGTAGAATTGTATATTGCCTTGTATAGAAGGATAGAGCATCATCAAAGATGGTTGCATGTGCTTGTCAACCAATGATGCAGTATCTTGAAAAACATGATTGAAATGGTAGGTGATGATTTATGTAGATTGCTAGACGAACTAATAGATTTGGTGATTACCGTGCGTATGAACAACTCTCCTGAGTAAAACCCTTAATTGGTGAACAACAATCATTTTTCTTGCATTTGAAAGTTGGCTTCAATTTATTGACACATCTCTGAGCTGAATAATTGCAGTACATGGTAAATGACAGCAACTATGTGATCAGACAAGATGATTAACAAGTTTGTTAGCCACATATTATCAGCCACAATAAGGTCTATTATACAATGGTTTAGGAAGCAAGACATTTATGCAATTAGATTCAAACCTTACAAAGCCAAATTATGAGGAAGTCATCATCTTCACACTCCTCTATAATGTTACGCATAACACAAGATTATGTGCTTCAATTGTATTTGATAGATGTCATGCGAATGACAAGTACATAATTAACATTAAAGTTTAAACCATTAACATGTTTCACAAAATAAATTTTGGCATGTATCTCTCTCTCGTTTTGTCCTTATCAAGCTCTAAACGAGTGGCTTGTTTATAAATTAATAAACGAGCCTATCAAGCTATTAATGAACAAGCCTTATCGAGCTCATAAATGATACTTTTAACGAATGAGCTTCTTAATGAACTCTAGAAACAAATATAAACAAGCATACTTTGATTGGAAACAAACATAAACTTGTGAGTACAACAATATTTTATTTCATTTAAAGTGAAACCAATATTGAATTGAATCTTACCAAATTCAATGAAATGACATAGAGTGCGATTGCAGTAGATGTTATTCCATGCATGAGGTATGGAAACTAATATCTAGTACCAAATTCAATTTATCAAACAATATAAAACATGGTCGATAGATTAAAATATATGAGAAAAACTTTAAAGCTTATTTAATTAATCTTACCCACGCCAAATGATTGAAGAAAACTGTCAAACAAAATAGTTGCTTGAAGTTAATTATCCTTGCTGTCATTCACAGCAAAATGAATAACTATGTGAAGGAAAAAAATCATGCAAATATTCATGTACCTGTAATTGGGGTAAATCAGCATGCATGAATGTATTAGTTTTGAACTCCTCTCTAATGGTCGAAGGGATTGTTGGCAAATTTGCTTTTCTTCATTGTTGAGATCATTGAATCTCATGAGATATTTCCTTATTATCTTTAAAATGTTACGACTTATAGAAATTTTCATGGTAAGAAGAGCAACCTGAACTGCCACAGGCTGATTTCACAAAGCACAACCAAAGCATGCCAATGTTACGCAATCTCTAATTTTTTTTGGAACTTGAACTGCCACAGGCTGATTTCCAAAATTAACAAGAGAAAAACTCAAGTATAATATATGAGAACTAAATAGGAAACTGAATTGCATACCAAGAACAGAATTACATAACCCGTTGAGCTCCAAAATTTTAGAAGGCAAAAACAATAGCAACCAAAAGGACTAGAAAGCCGCAAAATGACCCCCAATTTAAACAAAAAAGCTGATAAACGAAGTAGGCTCACCCTGGTTGCCGGGCATTGCAAGGCCAACTAAGGGTGGGAAAGTATAAAGCAAGCGATCTAACTAAAACCACCCTGGTTGCCAGAGCACACCAACGACCGTCCAGGGATGACCAAGAATGGCATCAAGGGAATATATATTTATCATCGTCCATTCAATCCAAATGGTCCAAACAATCTTCAGGAGCAGAAAGCTAAGAAAAAAAAAAGAGAAAAGATGAACCGAGATATCCAAATTATATTCATCCAGCAAGTTATCCCAAGACATCCTATAAAGAATACATCAATGAAATTAAAATCTTGAAATATGTTTGGTGATTTCAGCATAGGAACTACAAAAAATGCTAGTAATGTTAACTGGAATATTTCTGAATGTAAGCGAGTCAGCAATTTTAAGCCCATCAACAATAGCTAGCCAAGCATAGACAGAGAATCTAATAGAGTAATGTTTATGCCATATTTGTTTGTGTCACGCCACATATTCTATTTCATCAAATAAATATAGCCAAAAATCTCATCAAATAAGACAGTTTTGGCTTACAAGTAATATAGGTATATTAAGAAAAGAGGTATGCAAATGAGTTGGTAGGGAAGCAAGAATATTTCATACTCTATTATGAATTACATCACACAACTTAATGTCTTTTAAATGAGCAACAATGGAGCAAGGAATATCAAACTGCTCTTCAATAGGTTTTCCAAATAGTTGAACAAAAATGCTGAGAAGTTGGAATAAGAACACATGCACTTATCTCATTAGATAAACACAGAAGACAAGTGTAGGCATAATTGCAGAAAACGGAAGTAAGATAAAATACTACAACTTTTATCACTAATTCACTTATTGTAAGTTGAATCTGAGATGTATCAATCATATATTTTCATGAGATCAGATTATCATTCAGAAGTCAATTTTGCCCAATACGGAGAGAACAAACATGAAAAGAATACAATTTTGCCTAGTAAAAAATTTTTTTGCATGATAATCTAGCAGATGTTTGATGTTTCATGAAATATCTTAGCACCATGTGAACATCATTTCAACGAATATTACAAACATAAAAAAAGAACAAATAATAGATTGCAATTACTAAAAAGTTGCATGAAAATATTTTCAAATCAAAGAGATCTCCTTTGTTTCCTCTGTGCACTGCAAAACACAATACACAAAATAACTAATAAGTTCATTGGATACAAAATTTTAAATTGCTTATAAAAGCAAAGCTTACTTTAGTTTTCCTCTTTATCCCATAAAAATTTCTATACCAATCAATTCCATAAATTAAACATTGCACTCTATCTATCTCCAAAGATGATCTGTACTGATCAATCACTTTTCCACCAATCCTAAATGTGGCTTCTGAGAATGCAGTTGTAATCAGAATGAAAAAAAAAATATTGCTAGCCATTTTTGACAAAATATGATATTTCAAACAATTTATCTTCCACCATTCCGAACAGTCAAAATTGTACTATCCGATTCCCATTTTCAATGAAAAAACCATCATTCAAGCATGCATAAGCACTTGATATCTTCCTTACTAACCTTAGATTCACCATGTCATGTAGAAGGTTAGTTGGTTGCAAGTTTTTTGGACCATTCCCTTGAGTTACACCCCCTAAATGTGACCCATGTTTGGTGGACATTCATTATTCATAAACCCGCTGGGTTATTTAAAGTCAGTCTCTTAAGTTTAGGTACTTGACTCCAAAGAGGCACGCCTTGGATGCTTATTCCATAGATCACAAAGTTGATCAAAATCATAGATCTACAAGGATTTCGAAGAAAATTGCTCTAACATGAAATATGATTAAAAAAAAAAAAGAAATTTCTTTGGTGAAGTTTTATGCATTACTGGATGTGAAGACAGTTTGGAATGCCGGTGACGTGTTCTTTGGCTAGTTTGAATCGCTTCAGCCGCAGGGTTTACACGAAATCTCATGTTTCTGTAGCTTTTCCTGCACTATCCACAAATTATTGTTTTCAGAGATTATTCTATTTTATCTAACTTTTAGTTTGCACGGTTCTGCTCAGATCTTGAATTCTGGTGTCTCTAAGATTTAATGTTGATTAAAATTTGTTATGTATAAACTCAGTGAGCATTCACTATATTTTATCCTTTTTTTTTTCCCCATATTTTATCTCATTTTACCATTCACATCTTTTAAGAGTATGTTTAGTGCATAAGTATTTTGCCAACTTTTTGTAATGATTTTCTTGATTATATATTGTTGACGGACTGATTGAATTTTTTTTTTTGGATTTACGTAGTTATTGACACTCCTGTTACAAACATATCAAAATATTTCCATGAGTGTTTTGATTTCATTGATCAAGCAAGACATGCTGGTGGTGGAGCATTGGTGCACTGCTTTGCGGGAAGATCAAGGAGGTAATCTGATTATTTTTGACATACCCACTATTTGTTCATGAAGATGCATATCTGTTTGGATGGAGCATGATGAATGAACTTGAAACGACAAAGAAATCATGTTTTTATTTTTCAACAGTAGAAAATGGAAGCATTCTGTACATTGATTCTTATTAAAATCTGTATTGTAGTATGAGTGCCAGCTTACATGTTGACAGCTCCTAACCAATCTTTTCTTGTTGCGGTTGTATTTTTCTTACATGTATTTTAGGAACCATCTCATAATGTGTTGGTGCATCACTGCATCGTCATGGGGATGCATTCATGGAGTAGGTTATCCATCTTTATGAGTAGCGATAAGTGTATTTTGTTAAAGCATTTCACAAAAACTGACAAATTGTGTGTAAATTATGGAGTATTTGCTTTTGAATTATCTATTCATTTTTTTCCTTTTAAAGGGTGATGCCTTCTTCCTTCTTTGGAGTTCTAAAATTAGTATTCCTTGCATTTCCTGTGATTGCTTTTGACATCATCAATCGAATTTATAGGTCTATTTAAGCATTTTTCTCACGTATATTTTTCTTTTCAGTTTTGTGAAAGCAGTCTTCTAATTCTATTCATGGGAGATTTATGCACACACCCCCAAATCTATTCTATTTACAAAACTACCAGTCTTAAAAACAATAACTTGTAAATATAAGATGCCAATATCAAACCATTATTAATTTGACAAAAGTAAAAAATAATGGTTGTGTTTGTTTTGAATTTTTATATTTTTATGAGAATTTGATGAATAGAGGTAGGGGAACATTAGTTTTGTAAATAGTCAAAATGTTGAGGGTATTTATGGAATTTCACTATTAATATTGATGATGCATAACATTGATTTGCCAGGCCACCTTTATGTCAATTAGTATTTTCTTGTGACTAGAGTCGGAAATGGAGTTGATTATTTAGAGATAGAATTTGGCAGAGAAAGAGGGAAATATGTACTACATATTTTTTTGAGTTTGTGGGATGATCATCACTCTATGTTGTCATCGATGCATGATCTGGGGATTTGATCTAGCATGGTGATCTATGATGCACAGACGTGGACATGTTGACACGGTTACAACACGACACGGACACGGGACACCCCAACTATTGAAAACATAGGACACGGACACAGGTTGGACACAATATATAATTTTTATATTTTAAAATAGTGTATATAAATTGAATAAGTATAATATAAAAATAATTTGGAAATAATAAGTCATTTAACAAGAATTTATGTTTAAAATGATTAATGTTAGGATGCCAAGGGTTAGGCATTGATGTCGTGTATCAGACATCAGAGGGCATCTATCATTGATGTTATGCAGGCGTTGGTCATCAATATTAAGCCGACATCAGACAAGGATGAGCTATCAGCAATGTGCTATTCTACTTGGAAGTCTATCCTGCAAAGTGTTTATTGCCTTTTAAGGGTTTATTTTCCCCTTGCATAACCATTATTTTTTAAATCAATCCACTTGAATCTAAGACTGCTGTTCCTCTTAAACATCATTCAACCCTGTAAATAGTTTGATATCCATCTGTATGGAATGTGCTCCCATTTATGGTTGATTTTTGCAGTCTATGTTTACTAGTGTATGAACTTGCATTACTTGTCTTTTTCTAACGTGTGATTTCTACAGTTTATGTTACAATGATGCTCAGTTCGCTTAAATTCTACCATTTATTATGTGAAAGCTAAATGAGAACATTGTTGATATTCTTATTATACCGTGAACAATTATCTAATATGTGAAATTATGTGCTCAGGAAATTACTATAATGCTTAGCGTTCTTAATTTTTTTTTATATACTATTTTATATTTATTTGAAATTTTTTACTTGGAAGTATGATTTATTAAAAGTTTCCTCTGGGGTGTTTCTTATTTAATCTACTCTGCAGTGTCACAGTTATTATTGCCTATTTGATGAAGGAGCATCAAATGAGTTTATCGCAGGCATTTTCACTTGTTAAGAGTAAAAGACCAATTGTAGGACCTAATTCTGGCTTTATGACGCAATTGCAAAATTATGAGAATTCTCTAAGAGGTAATATTGTTTGCTTACGCCGTATGTGTTTTGAAACAAATTTTTTTCTTTTATGCTTCCCTTTATGCCAATTTTTTTATATTCAGTCCTATGTCATCTTAGTTTGGAAAAGGGCATGAGTGATAGACAATAGAGAAATGGTTAAGGATTTCACTACTTAAATCTTACCTCTAACATTATTTTGTTGTCCAAATCTTAGATAGAGATACATCTTTTTTTGTGGCTGGTGGTTGAGGCCTTGTTCTTACTTGGACTTCAAAGGCCAAGCTGTTGCCAGAATATAACAACAACAATAACATCAAGCTTTTATCCCACTACGTGGGGTCGGCTAGATGAATCTTTTTTCTCAATTATGTTTTGTTAAGAATCCAATTTTCATTTAAATATAATAAAAAGGTCATTTCTAATATTTTATAACCAAATTTTTTTAGGTTTATGTCTACCTTTCTTAACATAAGCAAAATTTAATATTTCTACTCTTCTAATCGGGTCATCAGAAGGCTGATGTTTTATATGACCAAACCATCTAAAGGGACTCTCTCTAATCTTATCTGCCTCTGGAGCTACTCCAACAGTTTCATGTATATACTAGTTTTACATTCTGCCTCTAAGAGTGAAGCCACTCATCCACCTAAGCATCCTCATCTCGACTTAATTTCATGCTTGTCTTTTAATGGTCAACATTCTGCGCCATAACACATTGTAGATCTCACCACCATTTTATAGAATTTTCCCTTAAGTTTGAAGGGTATTTTTCTATCACACAACAACTTGATGCATTTCTCCACTTTAATCATCCAACTTGAATTCTACTAATAATATCATGACTTATTTCACCATCAATTTGAATAAAAGTTTTGAGATATCTAAAATGTGTACTCTTATTGATGACTTGATGGTTCAAAGTCATAGTCCCCCTACTATATATATTACTACTAAAATCACACTTAATGTATTTAGTTTTAGATATACTCAAATGAAAACCTTTATACTCTAATGTGGACCTCTATGGTTCAAGTTTATCTTCAACTCGCTTTCTAATCTAATCAACAAGAAGAGTATCATTAGTAAAAAGCATACATCATGGTACATCCTATTGCATATGTCTAGTAAGAACATCCATGACTAGAGCAAAAAAATATAATCTTAAAGTTGATCCTTAATATAATCCAACTGAAATAGGGAAGTACTTGGTAAATCACATTGTGTTTGAACACAAGTAACAAGCATAGATATCCTTAATGACTTGAATATAAACATTATTAACCATTTCTTTTCTAGAACTCTCTAGAGTACTTTTGGAACTTTATCATAGATTTTTTCTAAATCATAAATATCATAGATTTTCTCTTTATACTTCTCCGTTAAACTTCTCAATACACGTATAGCTTCCATAGTAGATCTACTCGGTATGAATCCAAATTAATTATGAGAAATATTAATATCACATTGTAACCTATGCTCAATACCTCTCTCACAAAGTTTTAAAGTATGACTCATTAACTTAATTCTTCTATAACTTGTACACTCTTGTACATTATCTTTATTCTTAAAAATGGGAATCAACACACTCCTCCACTCATCTCGTATCTTTTTAGTCCACAATATAATATTGAAAAGTTTCATAAGCCAAAAAATTTCTTCATCTCCTAAGCATTTCCTCAACTTTATTGTAATATCATAAGATCCAACAGCTTTTTCACATTTCATTTTCTTTAAAAACATTTCTAAATTTGGTTTAATTAATACGCTGATAAAAATAAAATCTATGTTAATTTAGGGTGCTAAGGTCATTAAAGACAATTGTATCTCACAATTTAAATTGAAAAGCTTATCAAAATATCTCCTTAACCTTCATTGAAATTCTCTTCTAATAAAAATATTTTTTAATCATCATTCTTAATGCACTTTACTTGAAATAAATTATTATTTTTCCTATCTCTTTACTTGACTAACTTATACATACATTTTACGTCTTCTTTAGTATTTAATATATTATATAAATCATTTAAAGCTAATTGTTTTATATCACATATTGCTTTCTTAAAATTCTTATGGGTCTCTTTATATCTTTCTCAATTTTTCGAGTTTTTACACATAAACCAATTTTTATAACAAAGTTTCTTATTTTTGATATTTTCTTACACATTTTGATTCCACCATCAACTATTTTTACTTTTATGAGGTTTTTCTTTTGATACTCTAAACATATTCTTTACAACTTTCTTAATATTACTAAGTGTTTTTTCTCACATAACATTAACTTTCTTATGTATAGTAAAAATCATAACATCTTGAATTTTATTCTAAAAAATATTTTTGTTATTGTTCTTTAAATGTTTCAATCTAATCTTAGGACAACATTTTATTTTATTTTTTATAATTGGTCTCTTCATCTTGAAGTCTAAAATTAATAAGCGATGTTAGATACATATACTTTCACTATGAATGATTTTACAATCTAATGGATCTATTTTTCTTATAAGAAAATGTTGACTCACACACTCGAAACACGCGAAATAAGGCAAAATCAACAAATTAAGTACGTGCATGTCGGCGCGCCACTTGAAGGCTAAACAATCTCTAATTACCAAACGGACTGCGTCGTTGCAATCATGACATCGAATTTGCCTAAAAGGGGTCTCTCACAGTCAAAATAGACGAAATCGATCAAAACGAACAACTGACATCCGAAATTAATGCGCGACATCCCCAAATGATGTACCATCACAAAATTGACTTTGTCATTGCGTTCGGAGCATCGTCAATACCCAAAAATGATTATAAATTCGTTCAATTGAAGTCGCACGAGGACATTAGCACGGCTTTTGAGGCAATGACGCGCAAATCAAGGAATTTGACACGTGACATTGCCCAAACGGCTCCTGATCATGAAATATACTTTGTCTTTGCGTTTTGAGCGCCAATAATACCTAAAATTGACTATATTTTGTCCAATTAAAATCATGTGGCGAAATCAGCACACATTCCAAGGAGGAATGCACGGATTTGGAGGAAATGCACGTGAATTGGAACAATTATTACGTCCTCCGACCGAACGTTCCTCTACGTCCGGTCGGAGGCAAATTCCCGCCAAAAAATGAGTTGTACCGAGCAAATACCGAGTTATACCAGAAAAACTCGGTACAACTCGGTATTTCTCGGTACAGCTCGGTATTGGTCTTCAGAGAATGGTATTCTTCAGTATTATCAAATAATACCTAGTTGTATCGAGCAAATACCTAGTTTTTGGACGGGAAATTGCCCCCGACCGGACGTTCCTCTACGTCTTGCACGGAACGTAATAAAAGATGGGAGGGCGCCACATTCTGCCTCGGATGGCGACGGGCAGATGATAGCTTCGGGTATTTAGAACATGAACAAGCGGGGCTTCGTTTCCTCTCCGACTGCACACGAACAAGTTTCACACTCCAACTCCGCTCTCATCACAACTTCACGATCCCGTCGACCCTCACCCGTCCAAACTCACATATGTAAGCAGGAGCTCGATCCCTTGCCCTTTTCTTGAATAGCCACCCCATCCAGGCTTCCGGTTCGAACTCCACTTTCTGCCGACAGAGCCTGTCGAGCTCTTCGATCTCGACCTCAATCCACGCCCATTCGCACCACCCGACTCCACCTGTGATAAATTACCCCGATTTCGCTCCAGACAGGTTGTACCCGTAGCTCCTTCGATACCTGCTGCCCAATCCAGCCAAGTGTTCGCCCGTCAACCTCCAATCTTTATCTGATGGAGTTCCCACACAGCCGCAAGCCCTTGCTCTTTCCACACGAATCCTGAACTATATAGCCCGTTATACCTCTTTCCCCTGCTCCTATTCACCTGTCCTGCTCACATTCACGTGAGTACCTGCAGCAACAGTTCTCCTTCCATCCTACATTTAGTTGGAACCATTCAAACAATTCCTTATCAGCCCAACTTTAGTTCCTCTACTTGCTCATCCCAAACGACCCACCTTCTCCCCTACAGCCCATTCCGTCCGCTAAAAGCCCACTGCACAAATCGGCCCACTCCATCATCTCAGCACAAATCAGCCCACTCCATCAACTCAGCCCAATTCAACCCACTCAGCTTTCTCCAAAATCAGCTTATCCACTTAGCTAAAGTCAATCCATCTTTCTATTATATTATTATTATTATTGTTATTATCAAGATTAATCTTTAAAGCTCCAATTTTATCTTCAATTTTATTAATTTCTACAATGGTATTATTCAAATTCTTATCTATAATCACACCTACACTATTTTTAGTACGACTCCCACCTAAATACAATAATTTAAATCATAAATAATTAAACTCCTTAGCCTTCTGATGCATCTTGGATGTAAAAACAAGTAGATAAGAAGAAAAACACAAGAACCAAATATTAAGGCAGATTTTTTATTCTCTAACAAATAATGAAAATTATAATTGATCTACTATTCGAGAGGTAGATCGACTCTCTCACAAACCTTAGGCGTCACTATTAACTACTCCCAAGAAAAACTACAACAAACACAATCACATAATGAAAATAAAACAACCAAATTAACCCTAATATAAACCTTCCTACTTCCCTCCCAAATTTGAATTCAAATCAACCATCATTCCCTTAATAAATATTTTATAATTCCATCCCAAATTTGAATTCAAATCAGCTCTCTTTCTCTAAATAAACGTGTCCTAACTCTCTTCCAAGTTTGAATTCAAATCTGCTATCTTTTCCTAAATAAACATTCCTAATTTCCTCCCAATTTTAATTTTCTATGGTACGTAATTAAAATGGAATTAATCCCTTTTACTCTTCTTGCTTTCCACCCACTCTAGTGGGGCCCGTAGGCTCAGCAAGTCCATCTATTCTCCCCTCCCAAAGAGCCACCTTATCCTCAAGGTGGAATGGAAGAAACTACTGCTAAAGCACTTCTAATAGTAATTTGAGTGTGTATAAAATTAAAATAATTTTATTTTATTAATTAAAATAATTTCAATTAATTCAAAATTTTAATTTCTATTAATTTAATTGAGAAATAACTTAATTTTAATTATTTTAATTAAAAAATAAATAAAGGAAATATCATTATAAATTAAAATTTCTTTTAGTTAGTTAATTAATTAATTAATTAATTAAAAATTCAATAAACTAAATAATAACAAAATACAGGGGAATGTTTGCACTAAAATGCTTAATACAACAGTTCAAACAAACTTAAAGAAGCTACCAAACCGGTGTAGGCTCCAAATACTTGAAAGCAAATCATACAAAGGTAAACTTAATACTACTAAGACAATAGTACTAAAAACAAGTAAAGTACTGAAACAAACAAACAATAGTGCTGAAGCAAAAAAGAAAGGTGCTAGTGCAAAAGAAAAATGTAAAACTAAGTAATTGCTTTAAAATTCACTCTAAATCAAATCTCCAAGTTATTTCTAAATGAAGCAGTAAGACCTATTCCTAAACTAATATAAGACCTATTCCTGAATTAGTTCATTAGGGAGCCTCTAAATGAAGTAATAAACCCTCAATTAAATAACAAACAACTTCAGCAGTAAGCCCTAAATCATGTCATTTGGTGACTTCTAATTGAAGTAATAAGTTCTATCTAAACAAAAATCTACAAACAACTTCTAACTGAAGCAATAAATCCTATTTCAAACTAAATTTACATGTAACTGCTAAAGTGAAGCAATAAGCCATTTTTCAAACTAAATTGTCAGGCAGCTTCTAAGTGAAGTAGTTAAACCTATTTCAAACAAAATCTCTAGCAACTCTTATAAGCCCCAACCCAACTCAATCTAAATGGGCAACTCCTAAAAGGAGCTGTAAGCCCCAAACTTACTCCTAAGCAGAGCCATAAGTCCATCCTAAATAAATCTATTGAGAAACACTTAAAAGGAGTCATAAGCGCCAAACTAAACTAAACTAATGATGAGGACATCAGAAGATTAATGATCTACAGCCACGATCTACTTTTGATTATTATTGTATTTGATATATTTTATTTTATGTTTTATGAGTATATTGTATTTCTTTCCGTTTATGCCCTTGCTTAAGGGCCTCGTCATGTGTTTGCCTTAAGGGCAATTGTGTCTTTGTATTTTCTTTATTCTGTTGGTTATTTAAAGCCTTCTCCTCTTCATGTAAGGGATGAATTATGGATAATGAAAATTTTATGTTCTTGTTGATCTCTTAGTGAGTTCATGTTAATCTCTTAGTGAGTTCATGAGAGGAGAAGCCCGTGGAGGGTGATTTGCAATACACGTCAATCTTGGTGGATTCCAAGGTTCGCGGTTCTCTTATCTTACTTTTCTTTTATTTTTTCTTGCATCGAATTCCCCTCCTTTGGAGTCACCACCGCCGACCACCTAATCCCGCCCCTTGCCACCATCACCCAACCCCCACGGCCGGCCCTCCCCAACCCCGCCGCCCATCACCTTGCCGCCGGCCACTTTGTCCCCACCATTAATGGTGGCCACTTCCTCATTACCACTAACCCAAAATTGGTCCCATTGATTTAGGGAGATACTCCTAAAATTTGAAATTCAAATTTTGAATTTCAAATAACTTTCAAATTTGCCCAAGCTATATTTAGAAGGTAGCTCCACAAATTCCTCCATCCATTCAAACCACCATGTCTCCCAAAATCTGATTTCAATTTCACCATAACACCCTTCCTAATTTAGCCCATTAAGTTAGGAAGAGATTTAAAATTCAAATTCAAATAATTCTCTCTTAATTGCTCCTCCCCTAATTTAGGAGAGGTTATCAATTAAGTTAAATCTGAAATTAGATTCTGATTTATCTCCTCAATCATCTTAATTGCTTGGGCCCACCTCCACAATACCCAGCCCTCTCATTAAATCTTGCCAAAACTCAATTTTCTAAATTGGAATTCACGTCATTCCGTTTTTCTCCTGCTGGCCAAACTTTCCATCACCTGTACATTAAGTTCCTCCACAAATCTCTCCCCAAATTCCATCTCACGTGGAGTTTTCTGCCTTCTAAGGCTGCAGCCAGAAAATTCCAGCAATTGTCATTATTTTCCCAGCAACTTGGAGCTTCAAAGTTGCTGTTTTACAAGACCAACCTGCTGCCCAAGGGCTCCCAGCCTTCATACAATTATTGTCCAAGTTGCTGGCCATCTCTAGGATTTCTGTCCTGAACTTTTCAGCCAGGAGTTTTGCTGTCCAGCCCTCCGGAACAATACCGTTCACTGTCCAGACTTTTCTGGACATTGTTGGATTGCTGTCCAGGGATTTCCAACAAGAAGAGCTGCTGTCCAAGACTTCTAAAAACCCAAAGCTGCTGTTTAGACTCCTGTATTTAATCTGCTGTCCAGGATTTTCCAAGTACCAAAGCTGCTGTCCAGCAATCATGACAACCTCCTATTGTTGTCCCGCTGCCTCTAAAGTCCAGATTGATGTCCCGCTGCATCTCGAAGGCTCGTGGTAGCTGTCTACCTCCTCTCAAGCACCCAAGCAACCACCGGAGTTGTCTTTCCTATTTCTTTGGGATAACTCATCCTCCCAACTCTTTATCCTCTTAGTTGCTTCTCATTTATGGTTTTAATAGATTCATAAGAAGCTTGTTAATTACTCTCCGCTAAAGCCTTAGAATTAGAGAGTTGATTGAGCAGACTCTAACATAGTGACTAGTCTTGTTGTTAAGAAATGGATTTTTGTTGGAACCAATCATGTTTGCAACGTCATGGTAATTGACTAGTTTACAATATTAACTTCCACACGTGTGATTTAGCTTGAGCTTGTTTTATCGCCTTATTATTTTATCTTAGCGTTTAAATCGGCATAAGTTTTATTTAGAATTGTTCTTGAACTGTTAAGCGTGCAAATTTCCCTAAGCAACTCATCTTTGCATGTACTGTTTTACATCAACTAAACTACTGAGCAACTCCTAAAAGGAGCCATAAGCCCCAAACTAAATAAACTAACAGGCATTTTAATAGATATAGGGCCCAAAATTTAAACCACAACATACCAAAATCAATAATAAACCACCTAAATTTATTCGGGATTCCTAAGAAGTGGCAACATATGGTTGCTAATCAGATTCTCTGGACATTACAACCAATTGTTTGTTAGCATTGATAGACTAAAATCTATGGTATTCCTGAGATGAAGGAGCCATGATCATAAACCATGAGATTTTGATCAGGTCTACCTCTATAAACAACACAAAAACATAAAATTCCGAAGCTATGATAAAGTGATTCATACTTAATTGAGAGTGCTATTCCAAGAAGTGAGAGGGTAATTAACTATGAGGATTTGCACTCATATGAAGTAAGGACTCAGACTTAAATAAACGTTGATATGATCACCGAGGGAAATGTGATTAATTAAAAATTAATCTTCTACCTTAAAGAAAATGGAATCCTAAGCCTAGAAGGTGGGTTCGTGCCTAGCACCATTTTTCTTGTGCCCACATGCACTCTATCTGTTGTTCATGATTTCTTGTTTATTTAAACCTCTTTCGTGGATCAGTTTTCAATTCAGAGTCCATTCACCTGTTCATTTATTTCTTACATATGTAATTTAAATGATTCGAAACCTACCATGTGCCATGTTTCTTGTTCTTCTTGGTACCGTTAAAGCCTTTTCTGTAGCATTTTTTTAAAAAAAAATTTGGTGAAGGCTTTGCTCGACTTGCAGAGTTAGTAAACCAAGCCCCTGAGCTAGTACGCAGCTGATGTTGGACATGAAACATGAGGTAAAGAATTAGCCTTTTAAATGTGTTTCAATGTTAGTTGGGGCCTTCAAGTTTAGACCAATGATTATATCGTCTTGCTTTTGATCTTCCAATTCCTTCTGAATAAAAGAAATACATGCTCAGTGCTGAGTAGTTGTAGTTCTAGTAAATGAAGTTAAAACAGTTTTCAATCAAAATACCCTTCTGAGAAAATAATTTCATTTAAGTTCTTAAAGTCTGGATAATGGTAGGATTTGGATTTTAAATGGTGCAATAGCCCATCTTAGTTGCACATTCTATTATAGGCAGTTTGGACGACGACGACAACAACAACAACAACATCAAGCCTTTGTCCCACTATGTGAGGTCGGCTACATGAATCCTTTTTCGCTATTGTGTCTGGTTAAAAGCCAAATTCTCAGTTAAATCTAATAAAGAAAAATCCTTTCTAATATTTTCTAACCAAGTTTTTTTAGGTCTACCTCTACCTTTATTAACATAAGTCAAATCTAATACCTCAACTTTTCTAACCGGCTCATCAGAAGGCCTCCGTTTAATGTGACCAAACCATCTAAGGCGACTCTCTCTAATCTTATTTTCCACTAGAGCTACTCCAACCTTTTCACGTATATGCTCATTTCGTATCCTATCTCTAAGGTCAATCCACTATTCCACCTAAACATCCTCATCTCTGCAACACTTAACTTAGTATTATGCTTCTCTTTTAATGGCCAACATTCGGCACCATAAAGCATTGCAGAGGCAGTTTGGACGATCCCACTAAAATCTTAGAAGTATGGAAAAATGTTGGTGGTTTCAATAACAACCCAAAGTGAAGTGGATGACTTTAATGCAGGTAATTGCACCAAGCGAACATCATTACAAAGTTCATTGGAGAGGATTGCAATGTAATAGTGTTTGCTGAGATAAGAAGTTCTTCTCTGACTGATATTCTCTTAAATTTCATTTGACTGCTCTCTCTCTCTCTCTATATATCTTTTAGAGCTTCCTTGTAGACACTATTGTTCCTTTTGCTAGAAAATTAGCTCATAAAATGTTAATTTCCCACGGCTAGGATGAGAATCCGTGGGAGACTCACCTGTTAAATCCCAGCCGTCCCTTGGTATTTTGATCCCACGGTTAGGATGGGAATCCGTGAGAGGCTCACCCGCCGATCTCCTTCCATATTTAGTTGGCTGATTTAGGAAGGATTATATTATTGTAATTATGCATGATTTTGTAATTATTTGTTTCTATATTAAGTTATTTTGTATAGATCTATAAATATAGATTGTTTTGTTCAATAAAATTAAGCCTTTTCCCTCTCCAATTCTCTGAATTAAACATGGTATCAGAGCCTTCATTATCATTGTTGGAATTTTGAATTTTTTGTACTATCGTGCCTTCATTGTCGGTCTTCCCTTGTTGTTATCCTATCTATAACCAACGCAGCTTTTATTGCTGCCCTGCTCGATATAACCTTCATCGCTATCATTTCCCGCCGCAATGTTTGAAGCAAATTCCTCTCAATGTTTTATCCAAATGGATGATTCTATGATGCACCAAGGAAGAGGAGATCTCCAAAATATACAACATTCTTATTGCTTAAATGGGAAGAATTACTTGAAGTGATCTCAATTTGTGAAGATCTACTTGAAAGGCAAAGAAAAGTTGAATCACCTCTTTGGGGTAGGACCAAAAGAAGGAGATCATAATTTTGGGCATGGGATGAAGCAGACACCATGATTTTGTTATAGCTGTGGAATCTATGACTCCAAAAATTATTGATAATTTTATGTTCCTATCTACTACAAAGGACATATGGGATGCTGCCAAGCAAACCTTCTCAAAGGCTCGGGATGCTGCCCGGATCTTTGAAATCAAGGTCAAGGTGGGAAGCACAAAATAAAGAATCAAAGCTGTAACAGAATATGCCACTCTCCTTCAAAACCTGTGGTAAGAATTTGATCACTATAGATAGAGATCAAGTGTCTAGAAGATACTGCTATCCTGAAAAAAATTATTGAGAAACGTAGTGCATGATTTTATTGCAGGATAAAATGCGGAGTTTGATCAGGTTAGAGTTCAAATCCTTGGAAAAGGGGAGACACTATCATTAAACGAGACCATTTCTCTAATTTGTGTTGAGGAAAACCGACGAGGGGCAACGTTAGAGCCAAAGATAGTTGAAGGTTTACTAATGGTGTTAACCAAAGAGGCACCATGGAAGGAAAAATGTAAGGATTCCTCAAAATCTAATGACAAAGGCTCCCTTTGATACAATTATTGGAAGAAATCAAGACACACAAAGGAGACATGCTGGAAGATAACAAAAAGCCGTCAGGTAAGGAGTGAAATGAAAGAAGTGGACAAAAAGCACATCACAAGCCACACTACAACAAATCAGCCTAACCCAGAAACATAGTCCAGCTTCAGAGATCTCAATAAAGAATACATTGATAAACTAAAACAACTTCTAGTATCCCTTGAAAAATAACCTGCATCTTCTTCTCTTCCACTTTCAAGTAAGTATTCTATATCCATTGGATTAAGTTCCTTTAGAAATCATTTGAAAGGATTATGTATCATTGACTTAAGAGCCATAGATAACACAACACACTCCACTACCCATTTCATCAATTATACTCATTGCCAAAGTGATAAGAAAATCATCACGGCTGATGGTTCTCTTACCACAGTAGCAGGCCAATGAGACATACTCTTATCTCCCTGGCTCACTCTAAAAAATGTGCTCCACGTACTTCAATTATCTATAAATCTAATTTCCATACAAAAATATACCAGTGACTATAAGTGTCAAATCTTATTTAACTCTACTTGTTGTTTATTTCAGGAGCAGAGATCGGGGAAGAAGATTGGATATGCTAAGGAGAGAGATAGACTGTACTACATGGAAAAGCTGAACAAATCTAATATTATCAATAATGACTATTCTATGTTATTCCTATTTGATAAAAATTCTACTATTTGGCTTCACCATTTTAAATTAGGACATTTATCTTTTGATGTCTTAAGAAATATGTACCCAAATTTTTTTTATAAGTTGAAAAATAAATCTTTTCATTATTAAACCTTTGAGTTAGTCGAAGCATAAACTAGTTTCTTTTCCGAACAAACATGACAGACGTAATACTCCCTTTTACCTTATTCATAGTGATATTTGGGTTAAAAAGGGTCGGTTGGCTATATATGTCACGCACATCTTTTAATTGATGGACGCTGTATGGTTATCAAGACATATGGCTGACATAATTTATGGATTTTATAGAAAAAAATAGTGATATTTGGGGACCCTAAAAAATTCCTAATATCTCAGGAGCCTGATGGTTTGTATCTTTCTTTGATGAATGCACTCGAGTCTCTTGGATCTTTCTCCTCAAAAAGAAATATGATGTTAGCACTATCCTCCTCATTTTTCATACTACGATCAATAACCAATTCGGGGTAAAAATAAGAAAATTTCGTTCAGACAATGCTAAAGATTACTTTAACCAAACTCTATCCTCCTACTTTAAAAAGAATGTATCATTCATGAGTCTTCCTGCATTCACATCCCACAACAAAACGTCATCCCAGAAAAAAAAATGGCCACCTTCTAGCCTCCACCCATACACTTTTATTTCAACACAATATACCCAAATCCTACTGGTGGAAGCCCTTTTGACTGCTACACATCTCATAAATCTGACTACCTTCAAAAAGATTGGGATTAAAAACACCAATTAATATTCTATTCTCTTTTTACCCCTAATTTCAAACTCATAATAATCTTACACCCAGAATCTTTGGGTGCACTACCTATGTTCACATTCATATACAAAATAGAGAAAAATTAGGTTTAAGAGCACTCAAATATATCTTTGTTGGATATTCATCTACTCGAAAAGGTTGTAATTGTTATCTTCCCTCCACCATGAAATCTCTTGTATTTGTTGACGCTATCTTTGATGAACAAAAATCCTATTTCACCAAACCTCATCTTCAGGAGGATACTGAAATTGAGGAAAATGAGGAAAGTGAGCTTACCCCTCTTGACCTTCTAGTTCCACCTCAAATCAATCCACAAAAACCTTAAATCAAAGTCAGGGAAACTGAGGACAAAGCTATTATAGATAACATGAGGTTTGGACAAATTAATTCAGACATACCAATCCAAATTATGCTCCATAGCAGATCCAAGAATCTGAATCGTCTCCTGAAATTTAGGTAAACACAAGTTCACCAAAAAAAGTCTCCCTTATACCCTATAACCTACTTTTTATTTTTCCATAACTTCTCACATTCACACGAAAATTTTTTGATTACACTAAATGATATTAATATTCCTAATGATATTTCTGAGGCCTTATCTAATAAAAAATTGAGAGAAGTGCCATGAAAGATAAAATACAAGCTTCGGAGAAGAACAATACATGGGAGATCACTGACCTACCAATAGGAAAAAAACTAGTAGGCTACAAATGGGTGTTCTTTATAAAATATAAAGTTGATGGTATATTGGAAAGGTATAAGGCAAGGCTGGTGGCAAAAGGTACACTCATACATACGACATTAAATACCAGGAAACTTTTGCACCGGTGGCTAAGTTGAACACCGTGAGGATCCTGCTCTCACTAGCAATTAATTGCAATTGGCAACTGGAACAACTAGATGTAAAAATAGATTCCTACATGGGGACTTGGAGGAAGAAGTATTTATAGAGATTCCACTAGGATTTAAGGAGAAATCTGAGGGTGACAAAGTGTGCAGGTTAAAAAAGGCTCTATATGAGCTAACACAGTCACCTAGAGCTTGGTTTGGAAGATTCTCAAAAGTTATGCTATTTAATGGTTATTGGTAGAGCCAAGGGGATCATTCATTATTCTTCAAGTACTCAGATTCAGGGGAAGTCACAATTCTATTAATTTATGTGGATGATATGATCTTGACTAGGAATTATGAAAAGGAGAAAGTGATTTTAAAGAATTATCTTGCTAAGGAATTTGAAATCAAAGATCTTGGTAGATTAAAATATTTTCTTGGAATTGAAATGACCCACTCCAACAAAGGAATATAAATTAGCTTGTAAACCGACACTAACACTGATAGAACAAAATCTCAAATTGGGTGAAGCTAAATAAGATTCAAATATAGATACAGTATCTTACCAGATACTTGTGGGGAAATTAATATACCTTTCTCATACTAGACCATATATAACGTTTGTTGTAAGCATGATCAATCAGTTCATACAAAATTCAAAGCAGACTCACATGTAAGCTATAAACATAATACAAAACTATCTTGAGAACCAATGTAAAGGGATTCTCTTCAGAAGAGACTGTGGAATAATCTCAGAAACATATACTGATGCAGATTATGTAGGATCATCAGTAGATAGACGATCTACCTCATGATACGGCACATTCATTGGAGGAAACCAACATAGCTCATAATTCGGTTCAACATGATAGGACCAAATACATAAAAGTAGACAGATATTTCATAAAGGAGAAATTAGACAGTGGTCTTATATGTATCGATCATGATATTCTTACTAAGAGACTCGATAACTCTATCATTCTGGAACTGATTACGAAGCTGGGAATGATAGATTTGTATTCCCCAGCATGAGGGGAAGTGTTAAATCCTAGCCGTCCCTTGGTATTTTGATCTCACAGCTAGGATGGGAATCCGTGGGAGACTCACCTGTTAAATCCCAGTCGTCCCTTAGCATTTTGATCCCATGGCTAGAATGGGAATTCGTGAGAGACTCACCTGGATCACGTTGATCTGCTTCCATATTTAGTTGACTGATTTAGGAAAGATTATATTAGAGCAATTATGCATGATTTTATAATTATTTATTTCTTTATTAGTTATTTTATATCGATCTATAAATAAGGATAGTTTTGTGCAGTAAAACTAAGTCTTTTCCCTATCTAATTATCTAAATTTAACATAAAACAATATTTTTATTGCAAGTCAAAACAAATATAATTTTACTGAAGAACTCTAGCTCAAATGACATCCTTCTTGATATTCGGAGTATATTTCATTAGTTCTCTTATTTTTGCAATTATTTAAACTAAAATTTCAATAGCTCTTTCATGTGAAATTATTTTTAAACTGTTTTTTGTTCCCTCATTTGTAATTGCGTTGACCCTAATTATCTATAACTGTTTTTGAAGTCTTATTTTAGGGGCAGCTTTCCTACTATTTTCTAAAGCAGTTTTTTATTATAAAAATTTCTTGTCTAAAAAAACTTTGTACTAAAAAACTATTTTAAAAAACAGTAAGAAAGTTGTCCCAAACGAAGCCTTAGATTTTTATCAAAAAGCAAGTATTGTTTTCTTCTAGAGTTGAGCTTTGTTGTGAACACTTTTGCCTGTTGATTCAATTGCTAAATGCAGTAATGGCTCTCTTATTATTTCCTTGTCCTGAGCTTCGTTTGAGACTTTTTAGACCACTATTTTTTTCTTACTTTTAATAGATTTTTGTGCTAAAAAACAGCTTTACAAAACAGTAATAAAGTCATCACAAACGAAATCTTAAATTAAGATGTAATATTTGTAATAAAACATCTTTTGCCTATTTTCAGGCATCCAGCGTATATGGTGACTGACTGACATCCACCAAAGGCTCAAAGAGAAATGACAGGCATTCAACAACATATAAAAGAAGGAAGAATATGGCTGCTTGTCAAGGAGTGCTGTTTAAGTTGCAAATTCTATCTGCAAATAAGGGAAAAAACTGTAGTGTTCTAAAAGGAACCAGCACATCCATGAACAGCTAAAGCTCTTCATATGAATTTTTCCTTTATTTGAATAATTAAAAACTTTAGAAAATGAACAAATTTGAATAATGTTTTTTTATATTATTTGTGAATGTTTTTCTGTCTTTCAATGAATAATTTTATAAAATGTTCATTTAATGATGATTATATTAGTTATTTGATTATTCATATCTTCTGGAAGATTTGTTTGATATGGATATTTGAACATTTAAAACAAAATTTTGTTTGTATTTGTTATTTTAAAAAAGATGAAATATGAAATGATAAATAATTTACAATTTATAATATTTATTCTTCGTATTTTAAAAAAGTTGAATGATTATCATTTATATATTTTAATTTTTCATTCATCCATTGATTTGAAATATAATTATGTAGTTAAAATTTTATGATATATTCATAGTAGAAATTATTCTGTGGGAACATCGGGTACTGTTCGGAGGCGAATCAGGATGTATCATATCATTTTTTATTGTATGATGGTGTTTAACATGTACCGGGTGATGTGAAACATTTTGATTCACCTACGGGTGATGTGAAACATTTTGATTCACCTCCGAACGACCCATTGTTCGTACAGAATAATTTCTCATCAAATTGAGCATATATACATCATCTTCTTGCGAGTGCTCTAAATTATACTACTGAATATAAATCAAAATCTTATTTGTTGCTCTTTAATCTTACTTAGTACATGAAATAATACGTTATAAATCACACAAAGCCCTTATGAGGATATAGCATGCTCAGCATGATGTTTGATCCAATAATATTAGATCTCAATCACACAAAGTGCTATCAAATCAGCTGATACAATTAGATAAAGTGATAGAAAGTATAATTGAAGAAGTCCTCCACAGCTTCTCGATTTGTTCTTGCCATGATAGCCTATGGGGAAAAACCGAACTACTAGAAACAACACAAAGCGTGAGGATGATGACTGACAAGATCGATAATGACGATGAAATGGATGATATTATTCCAAGAGGAATATTTCATTACTTAAAGAGTTTTGTCGCTAATATGGACTATTTCTCTTACCTCGTTCATACTTATCGGACTGCTTCTTGGACTCTATCTCTACTGTGATTGTCGGCTTTGAAAATTTGCACCCCGGCCTCTCCGCAACCACTTTTATTTTTTTAGGTTGTCGAGGATAGTTTTAACGCTTAAGTTCCGAGGCAAATTTTCAGAAAGAATATTAGGTTGTGATTAAGACATTACCAGAGATTTTGCCCTCATTTTGTGAGGACTTTATGATTTGAGTTCAGGTTTCCTATAAGCACAAGCCCCTATAGTTAATTATCTCTCCCGATAATGAGAGAGAACTTTCGATTAAGGCTAGTCTTCAAATAAATATAGTGTCTGGTGTGTATTAGCATCAGAGTTTTGGTACTTAAAATTAACATTTAAAATATCACATTGCACTTAAAGTGGATGGTGGGGGGAAGTGATAATTGACCCGATCTTCGGCTTTATAATTTTATTAGCGAATTTTTCTTGTTATAGATCTTACATGCATAATATGCACGTATAAAATAAACTGGTCGATGCCGTAAACATATAGTTGTTTGATAGTTCAAGCCGTGTCGACTCCTATCTATACATATAGAATGATCAGACTCGAACTTAGGTTCATTTCTTGACTTGTGCAGCATTCTAAGAAATCATGTATGTGCACACATCACGCTCGTCGAGGCCCATGTAAGTGATCATATTTTAATGCATGAAGTGGAGCATTTAAATATTTAAATATAATTATTTGCGCCAAGTGATTGTTGCTCAAATTTGCGCAATATTTTATTTGAAGCTAAGAAACGTCGTCTAATTGCTTGTATGACTATTGTGAATCTGATAGCGTGGCATTGTACTTCATTTATCGCACATTGACAATGTTGTTTAGTTCATATTGTCTTTTGCAAGTTGCTATTTTCTTCAGCATTCAGCCTGAGGGAATATACTTCAACATGCAAATGAGCTGTGCAGTGCATCAGGGACCTCTTACCTGTCGCTTGCAAATAAGCTGATTTATTTGGTGTGACAACCTGACACAAAAAATTTACGGCCTCAGCCTAACAGTGGCCCCACAATTTTTACTACTAATTTCCTAGTTTTGCTTACTGGTGAACTGTAGCATTGTGAAGTGGGTGGCCCATTGCTCCTTGCAAGCGAGCTATTGTGTATTGCTAGCTTTGTTTAACACTAATAATAGTTCAGCGCTATGTATTTAAGAGTTAATGGTTCAGCGCTATGTATTTAAGAGTTACTGGTTGTCTCTTGTAGGTGAACTGTGTTCAATGCGACTCTTTCATTATTTCTTGTAAAAGGGTCGTAGCGCTGCGCTACTGATAGTTCATGGCTTCTTGCATGCAAACTATCGTGCACTGGTGAATCTCCTGCAGTATCATGTGGACGCTTACATTTGTTGCGGTCTTGTATTTGACGTGATCTTCGGTCTTTGCTTGTAAATAATATGTTATATGTACATATTCACAAAGGTTCCTTCATCCTTACAATATACCTACTACTACTACTGCTTCTTGGAAGCAAGCTGATTTCTTTATTTGCAGATTGATGCTGATTACCGGATGAGCTCCATTCATCATCAACTTCTTGACGCAAGTTGATTGTCGTCATTTGCAAGAGTTCGGTGTGCTTGTTGCAATTAGGCGATATTGCATTCATTATACATTAAGCTCAACTATCCACAAAAGGTTGAATGTGTTTGCTTGAGAACTCAATTGAGACTAGTTGTAGGGATGTCGCCTTATTTGTCACACATCCTCTTGAGTGTGGCTACAGGGAACTTATCCCAATCACAATTTTTTCACTATCGCTGCCGGCAAGTGAACTAGTGTATTTATTTACAAGTTGGTTATTTATTGAGCATAGGGGAATTACTACAATCGTTTTATGTTGATCATTGTTTCTTGCAAGCGGATTAATTCGTTTGTTACATTAATTGGATGTAAGACATATTCATTTTAAATTCCTCAAATGTACTTTGGTTAATTATAACTCATTGCAATCCAAACATATCAACCCTCTTTGCTTGCAGTAGTTTAATTTACTTATTTGCAATTGATTATCATTAACTGTACACAAGCTACATTTTTCTGGGCAATTCATTGCATATCAATTTACATTGCTTGCGGGGTTTAGTGTATTTGCCTGATTGCTTGTTGATGTTTTCTTGCAATTATTTAAATTTTGTAAGTTAATTAAACTTCATCGCCCTTCATTCGTGTGCATTGAGGGCTTGTTCACCACAAGTCACCTACTTGTGTATTTGCACTTGATTTTTATCAATTTTTAATTAGATTTTCATGTTGACATAAGGTTCAGTTCCTTGTGATCGTTTAATTTATGTTCCCTACAGTCCGATTGAATTCAAGTCCCCTATCATTTGTCAAGTTATGTGCATCGTCAGTTAATTCAAATTTTGACAGCCTCCTGACGTCTTCTCCGTTTAGAAAAAATTTTGGAAGCTGGGCCTTCCCACCACGCTAGAGAAAAGCGTGTATTGTAGGTATCGGGTGACACCGTGGCCGTTGTCTTCAATCCCACCATGCCAAAGAAAGGCACGTATAGGTCTTTGGAGAGATACATATTTGAAACGCACAGTTCTTTCCCCGCAGGCATGATGGCAAAAACACTGGTACTTAAAGTTATTCCCGTCATACTAAAGAAAAGCGTGTACATGGCTTACCCGCTTCCTCTCAAGCGCCATAAATAGGGTCGACGGAACCAACCTTAATTTTCGGGGGCGCACCGTATTCCCTCCCACCACGCTATATAAAACCTTGTATGAGTGATTTTTCGATGTGCTGTGAGAGCTAAAAGCAAGTTTTTAGAGAGATTTTTTAGTTTCCAGACATTTATACCTGAGGGACGAGGCAACGACGATAGCGTCAAGGTGATGACAACAACAAATTGTACACACAAATTTTCTTTCTTCTTCTTTCTTTTCCTTTTTTTTTCTTTTCCTCTTTTTTCATGACTTTTCTCTTTTTTTTTTTCCTCTTTATATATAATAATAATAATAATTATTATTATTATTATTATTATAATAAACATTATTAATGTTAAAATGACCTTAACAAAGAGAAAGAAATGACCTTTCTTGTGAGGGAGATCGGCACAGGGATCAGATAGAAAGATGAATCGAACGAATGAGGTTAGGTTTTGCGGCTGTGGGGTCGGTTGGAAGGGAAATGTTGGGTGAGGCATTATGCAGGGATTAATGTATACGGCTGTTTTGGTCAAATGTCAAAAAATAAAAATAAAAAATAAATTAATAGATTGATGGAATAAAAAAAAAAATTCATGATGGTATTATCAATCTTTTAATTTGAAATAACTTTAAAATTATTAAATTTATTTTGAGATGAATATAGTATAAATTTTATTTTATTTTAAAAATAATTTTAAAGATTTTGAAATTCTTGGCTCAAATTTTTTTCGTCTCCATATATCCCATGTATATGATCATAAATAAAAGAGATTTTTAGTAGAAGCTTCTAGAATCGATCTCATGGTTTTATAAATTTTATTTTTAACAAATTTATAGTTTTATTTGATAAAAGCTTGTTCATATTGTAATTTCTTAATATTGTAGTGTATAAAATCAATTTGTTATACTCACTCTTTAAAAACAATTGCTCTTAAGATTCCAAAAAAGAAAAAACAGAATAAATATGGAAGAACCTATAAATCTTATTTAGATTCAAATAAAATATTCATGAGAAGTCATATCATCAAGCTAGGACAAGTCAGTTAAATCCAAGAAAAAAGTGGACTCTATTTTCCAAAGGAATTTTTATTAGGTCCGGGGTCTTGACGTAGCTCTACATCCCGACGCCAGTAAAATGGTGCCACGTGCTGTTATTCTTTACCAAGCGGCCCGACGACCCGACCCGGACCAGTCACGGGATTGCTATGTATTGACTCATTTGTGCAGACCCGGGCATTGCTAGGTGTTGATCGATATTGTTCGACAATAATAAAAAATATCATTCTATGAAGACCAATACCTAGCAATACCGAGCAATACCCCAGTTTTACCAGGTATTGCTTGGTATTGCTCTGTATTGGTCTTCACAGACCAGTTTTTCTCGTTATTGTCAAGCAATACCTAGCAATACCGAGCAATACGTGAACATAGTAATACCTCCTGGTCCGGGTCTGCTCGTTGGGCTGCACGGTAAAGAGTAAGAGCACGTGGCGACATGTTATTGGCGTCCGAACGTAGAGCTACGTCAGGACACCGGACCAAATAAAAATTCAAATGGGGCTAGGCTCTCGCTTAGGAGAAATTAATTATTACGAGTGGAGTCAGAACGACTTCCAGACTACAATCAAATTAGGCAACATCGCCTGTAAGCAGCCTGTGTACAATTGTACACAAGCTATATACAATTTATATACATGATGTATATATACGATGTGAACTATTTTGATTAGAGTTCAGACGCGAGGTACGTCTGGATTCCGCACACATGTAATAATTTCTTCTCTCCTTAGAAGTCTCTATGCTATAAATTAACAGAAAAACTCTCATGCAAAATGATAAAATCTTAATGCATCTTTCTTACAAATCAAACTTAAATAAAAATAAAAATAAAAATAAAAACATAAATATACAATAACAAAACAAAAGAAAGCAAATCTAGAGACCTAAAAATTTAAGTGCTAGAAACAGCGTTGTGAAAGTTCCCGTGAGGAGGTGAGAGAATAAATTAAGTGAATTGAATGCTCGCACACGTAGAGATGAATGCATACAGGAGAGATACACTGACGAAGGGGTTTGATACTCCCTCTCCTCTCCTATCTCCTCCCACCATAATAAATTTTCAGCGTTCAAAGTATGTGACATGCAGCAATTCGTGTAGCCAAGTCATGCTTCCATTGCTCTCGGCCACCTCACGCGCGCTCTACTTCTTCACTAAATGAGAAGCTTTTACCAGCTTTCTCTTCTTCTTCTTCAACGTACTTTCTCTCCCATGCAGTACCAATCAACGTCGACCATGCAAAAGGCTTTCTATATATTGTTTTCTGAACTCCATCAACCAGAAGAAGAATCTGCACAAGTCGACAATGTCGCATATCACTGTAGAGAGGAACAGAAGAAGGCAGATGAATGAGCATCTCAAAGTTCTGCGCTCTCTCACTCCTTGCTTCTACATCAAAAGGGTAAGTACTTCTACTTACACTACAGGAAAATCTATCAGTACAATCCGACGTTCCGGCAAAAATAGTTACGTTTACAGGCGGAATATCCGCCGGTAACTTAACGACAAAATATCCAGCGCAATTTCCGCCGCTGAATCACCGTCTCATATTCTGCTGGCTCTTCGTCGTTATTTTAAAGATTTCCAGCGCAATTACCGGCGAAATTGTGCGCAAATATTGCGCCGGCTTACTTATTCTCTATCTTAATTATAATCTCTATTCAATAAGTATATTCTATCTCTTATATAAATATATGAAACATGCATCGTTGATCAAAAAAATTTTAATATTATAGGGTGATCAAGCATCAATCATTGGGGGAGCAATAGAGTTCATCAAGGAAATGCAGCAGCTGTTACACTCACTGGAAACCAAGAAGAAGAGAAAGAGCTTAAGCCCCAGCCCAAGTCCAAGCTCAAGGCCATCAGTCTTGCAGCTCACTTCCCCACCACCTCTGGCAAGCTGTAGCCCTTTTGAGGCTGTGAAGGAACTCAGTGCTTGCTGCAACTCTTCAGTGGCTGATGTTGAGGCCAAGATCTCTGGTTCTAATGTTATTCTTAAGACACTTTCAAAGAGCATTCCAGGTCAGGTGGTGAGGATAATTAGCTTGTTAGAGAGAGAGGCATTTGAGATACTTCATCTCAGCATTAGCAGTATGGAGGATACTGTGCTCTACTCCTTTGTCATCAAGGTATTTCTATATTTTCTTGGCATGCATAATTTACACTCCTAGTTAATGAGAGTGATATGGAAGCAGCTAATGTGGATGTTTATTCATGTACAGAAGCTTATAATTAAGGATTTTCCTTCAGAAACTGCTTGTCGATCCGTCTAAGAATATCTACTATGAAAGAAGAAATATTTAAGAGGAAAACGTGTGGGAAAAAGCCATGCAGTACTGCTTATTATTTGTCAAAAATATCCTCTTGTAATACATTGATAGCATAAAGCTGAGAATCCTTCTAATTATTGCTTGAATACATGTAGTAATTAAGAGGAACATCTATAGAAAGCAAGCAGATGATCACATATGTATCCAAAATTGAAATCCTAATATGAGTTGAGAGCAGCACATAAAATATACGAGATTTTTCACTCGAAAAGGGGAATTATTACGGGGTCTAGCGCAATTGAAACAATTCTATCAATGTAAATTATTGATTACCAAAGGCTCTCTTCCTTATACATGGAGAAAACATTAATATAATATGATAGATTTGAACAATTGAAGATATATTGAGATGTCAAATTAAGTTATCATTGAAAATGTCAAATGATAGCTAATTGAGAACATTAGAGTTAGTTGATGGTGGTCGATCAACTTGGTCACCCTCCGTGGCAAAGGAGACCAATCAATCGGGAGGACGAGCATCAAACATGTTAAATGTTGATTGTGGCAAGCGTGGCCGCTTGGGTGGCAGTTGACCGATGGAGAATGTCAAAAGTTGGGCAAAAATAGACATACATCTTGGCCATTTTCTTGATAAAAAGATAGATCAAGAGAGCGATCAGATGGACATAAAAAATTGATCTTTGTTGACTGATGTCAAACATTGGCTATTGAAGGCAGTTGTGATGGTTGAGAAGGTCAAAATTTGAGTGAGCGACTCACTTAATTGGTTGTTATTTAAATATGCGGAGACATCATGCGAACGAGAAGATGGATAAAATACATTGGTGGCTAAAGGACATTGTATGCTAGTCTTGGGTACATGTCAAGATATAACCGAATGGGGACATCAAAAGTTGGGCGATGGTGTGCAATTAGCTTAGTTATTCTCACCCGAGAGATTAAGGCGATGAGCAATATTGTTCAAAAGGAGTATGTAAGGCATAAGGTGTGTGTTGGCGAGGGACTTTAGAAGTTGGGTAGCTTTAGGAAATTTGCTTGTTAGTTCTCTTGATAGGAATTAAGTGACATTAGAGATCAATAAAATAAGTTTTAGATGTAGGAATTCAATCATTCAATCTCTTAATAGAATGGGAGATCGAGTGACCAGTAAGTCGAACATATTACACATCAATAGTAAACAAATTTTAGCTGGAGTTGTTGGAAAACATGCATTAGACAACAATCAAAGAAGATGTTGGATGTTGGTCATTGATGATTCATGGACCTCAATCATTTACAACAATTAATCAATGGTCAATGGTGGGTGTAAGAAGTTGGGGGACAAAGCTATAAAATTCTTCATGAATATAATATTTCTCTTTCTATTGAAAATTCTCCTCGAGGTTAAACATGGAGAAGTATAACCTATTTATAAAATACGAGAGGGGTATATTAGCTTGTCATTTCTATATGAATCCTTAAGATTGCATGAAATGGTTCAAATTAGTTTCTCTTGATTATGTTATATTTATTAAAGTCTTAGTGTCTTAATGACCTCAAAATTGGGTGATCTTATACTCATCGAATCAATATCATTAATTAAAATCTCATCTAGATTGCAAGAACGCAAAATTTGGAAGACACTTCACCCCTCAAATAGGCCCGACGAGTTTCAATTATGCTTATGAGTGCTTGATTTAGGTCATTGGGACTAGGGCTTAAATAATCTTAATACCATTAGTTTTGTCAAGTCAACCACACCATCCTAACTCGAAATCTATAAAATATAAAACTTGAATGATCATGAAATTAATTCATCAAATATTTGGATATTTTGATATCTAAATTCTTCATCAAAATTCATACTCATTAGATTAAAATTGTAAATCATACCACTCAATATAATTTCTTATTTCAATTTACTTCAGTTGATGTGAAAGCCCTTATGCTGAAACTTAGATTTTGTTTAGGACATTTTTCTTACTATTTTATGAAGCAGCTTTTCAGAACAAAAAATTTTAATTCAAACAATTTTTCAACTAAAAAATACTTCAAAAAATAATAAGAAAGCTGAAAGTCTTATTAAGTTAATTGGTAATTAAAAAAAAATCTCATTACATCGTGCAGTGCTATAGTAATTAATTTCAATAAAGTTGTATGGGATGAATATCTTAATGGTTCATCCGAAAGGTATATTTTCTCATCAAATATTTAAACAAAACAATCAATTATTTTGTTATAAAAAAAAAATTTATGTTATCATTTGAAAATAAATTAGAAAATAATTAAAAAAAAATAAATTCATGATTTGACCATGAAAAAAATGCATTTCTAAGGTAGATAAAAATTGGAGGTGTTAATAAATGACCCGATTCTAAAATCTTGGATTTAAATTAACCCGTTTAATAAATAGGTTGAGTTCAAGTCTGGAATTTTAAAACAGACCGGCTTCGGGTTGACACACAAAGCCAATTTTTACCCATTTAATATTTTTTTCTTAGATATTTTTATTTGTAATTGATATGATCTTATTTTTTTATCAATTAACTTAAAAGTTTTGTTTAACAAGTTATAATTTTTTTTTTAAATTAAAATGAGCTAGTAGGTTAAGTTCGAGTCATTCGACCTGCTAGCAGGTTAGATTCAAGTACATATCTTTGACCAGTTTATTGATCAAATTTGATTTAAGTAAACAGACTCAATTCTGACTCATTAATCCGTTTTGACACCCAGGATGAAAACTAAGAGAAATGTAATTTCCTTGTAATATTTTTTTTGTTTGTGTACTCAGTTAATGCAATCGTACAGTAATTAATAAGCTGTACTGATTCATGTACAGATTGGACTCCAATGCAAGCTCAGTGTGGAAGAGTTAGCTTTCGAAGTACAACAGAGCTTTAGCCAAGAATTACTGGCATTGACATTTTGAAATGATCAAGTTGGGAAGGCTTACTTGCCTTCAATCTTCTATGTTTACTCGAAGAATAATTGAGAACATAAGTTCCTGATAAAGCCCTGTAGGCTCAGCAAATTCATAATTTTCTCCTTTCTTTCTCCTCCAGAGATGATATTTTATAGCTGTGGGTACTGAAGTAATTGCATATTTACCTGTCTAAAAACCAAAAAATAAGAGCAAAGTTCATATGCTCTCACATATGGCAAATTTTGGAGGTTTCATTCTCTCTCTCTCTCTCAATGATAAAACTTTGAATTTTCAGAAGTTCGATGATAAAAGATAGTTTGATCATCCTTATAATTGGAATGGAGATTGGACTACCAAAAAAATGGTGGTTCATTATTATTGAGTGACCAATAAGATGACAAAATTTTAATTAATTAAATGACGACAGCAGCAGCAACAACAATAATAATAGTATAATAGAAACATCAAGTAGTAATAATAATAAAGTAATTTTTTTTAAAAAAATTTAACCAGCATAATGCTATTAAATTTATAAGATGAAATTTTTATCATTTATTTATAGATTTTTAGAGAGATTGATTATTTCTATAAAAATCTTGGACAAACTATAAGGCTATCCTAAAAAAATCCAAATTGATTATTTTGTATTTTCTAAATATCTCAAGTATCTTAGCGAACTCAGAATTTAATGATTTTCGATTCTTCATATCCTCTCTTTATAAGCTCATTTTGATTATAAATGTATAAAATTTGAAGGATACTGAGCCCCTCCAATGAACGAAAAAAACTTGAGTGCTTTTTAAGTTAATTGATTATTTTAAAAAGACTATACATCAATTTATTGTTATTAATGAACTTCAATAATATTAAAAAAATGAATATTCATAATAAAAAAAGTATATATTTATGCTTCTTGTTGAAATACACATGCAATAAATTCTTTAGCCTTTCAAATTTTCACCATCTTGTCTAACAAAAAACAAAGGCTTCATTTGGGGAGAAATTATTCTCGGCAAACACAGGGCAGTCTGGAGACTAATCAGAATGTGCCACATCACCTAGTAAACATCGGTACTGAGTACCAATACCAAACAAAAAAGTGACATGTTACGTTCTGGTTGGTCTCCAGATTTCGTTCAGTGTCAGTACATAATAATTTTTCTTATTTTGGACGGCTTTCTTATTACTTCTTTAATAATTTTTTACCACACAAATTTTAATTTTTATACTAATTCAAAAACTAAAAATTGATTTAAAAGGCAATCCTAAATCTTTAAACTTAACAATTAATTATTTAATTACTCTAAAATTGTTTGTGACATCTCTTAATAAGATATTACAAAGTAAACATGAATATATATATAAATTCATGATCCAACCAAAATACTAACTTCAAGCAATTTAATTTTCGATCTCTACCCAATACGTATTTTCAAATGGCAGTGTTTTTTTTTTTTTTTACAGATTTTTTTAGTTTTTGGAAAGGTAAGCACCAAATTGAAGTGTAACTTTTTAGAAAATTTGTTCTTGATTTTTTTCTCTCATGCTAGGTAATTTATTAGCTTGTCAATTACATAAATAGGTCATTCATTGTACTTTTTATATTTTACAAGTGAAAAAAACTAGGGAGAGTGTTCAAGGAGAAGCTTGTGAGGTGAAGTAGCTATAACATCAAAAAAAAAATGTGCTTATAAGTTAAAATAAAACAAAGGGAAAATCTTATCATTAAATAAATGAAAATTTAACAGCCCAAATTCTTAACTATCAATATATTATCTGTTTTTGTCTACAATAGAGGTTGCTATCTATCGAAAATGTAACACCCATCTATTGTCTGTTGAGTTGAACTTCAATGCAAGCTTAGGTTTCGTTTGTTACAGTTTATTGTTTTTTGAAGCAGTTTTTTAGGAACAAAAATTTTGTACTAAAAAACTGCTTTAAAAAGTAATAAAAAAGCTGTCTCAAACGAAATCTTGTGTGGAAGAGTGGCTTTGGAAGTACAATGGAGCTTTAGGCTAGAATTGCTGGCATTTTCAAGTGATCAAGTGAATCCACAACACATAAGTTGGGGGGGAGAAAAAAGCTTTAAATTTACACCATTCATAGATAATCACACAGCTTGCATCTCAACCACAGGAATGCAACTTATTCTGATTCTGTAATGATTCTGCCATCTTATATGATCATTTATACTGTACAGCAACATCTGTATATGGTACAGATTAATCTACTCTATTTCTATTCCTCTTTGCTGTTACAATACAGCTCTGTTTACTTCACTAAAAAATTGTTTCAGTAAGTAAAACAAAAATTTACTCCTATAATTCTCCAGAGATGATATTTCTGAAGTAATTGCATATTCTAATATGCAAAGAAAAAAAGTAGTGACTCTCTCTCTCTCTCTCTCTCTCTCTCTCTCTTCCTGCATCAGATCTGTAGGGTGATAAGAAAGCTCCTCTTTTTGGCTCTTATGCCAATTTTGTAAAGTTCTTTTGTGACATTATAGTTCTAAGGAATTTAACCCAGAAAGTTTTGTAATTGATAAGATCCCTTGTTTTGCTGCTTACAATAGGTTGCAGAATATAGGATGCTATCTATTGCTACATTTTTTTGGGTTAATTCCTTCAAAATATGATGGCAAGAAAAACATTTAGACTTTATAGATCTGCATAACTCATAAAACTTAACAGAAGAGTTACGGATGCAGTCTTTTCACTTCTGCTTCCTTCTCCAAATGCTTCCATAAAACTCATACATCATATGCTAATATTCTTTTTGGTTCTTCGATGTAAGATCAGGCTGAAATCCTATGAAATCTGAATAATTTTATCAGATTGATATGCTACAACTTCCGTAGTAAATAGATGTGAAACATATTATGTACACCATACAAGTATTTTGATAAGACTATAGTCTTATCTTTAAGGCCTACAAGTCGTGGGCTTAACTTTCTAGCCTTATCAAAATGCTGAACGCCATTCAGGGACTAACTTTGAGAAGCACAAATTTTCCCACCTTAAACTTCATTGGTTGGTGTTTTGTATAATAATGTTTTCTTTGTCTATTTTGCACTACTTTTAATCAGTCGCAAATTAGTATAATTGTATTAGTAACTTCATCTACTAACTCAACATCAATTACCTTTCTCTCGTCTATTTTGCCCAACACAATGATGTTCTATATTTTCTTTTATAAAGAACGTTATAAGGAATCTTTATAATGCTCGCATTAAAAACTATTATTATAGGCAAATTCTATTATTAGTAAATGCAATTTCTATCATCCACCAAAATCAAGAACATATAATCTTAGCGAATATTCTCAAGTTTGAATTGTCTTTTTAATTAGCAATCAATTTGAAAGTGAAATGCTATAATAATACATAATTTTCTACCCAAGGATTCCTTACCTTTCCTTGACAATTTGGATGTAAATTTACTATCTTAATGAAACACTATAGACTTTGGTACACCATGCAATTTTGCAATTTCTTTCAAGTAATTCTTGTCAACTTGTCAATAGAGTCATTTTTTCTGATAAAAAAATATACAGACTTAGTCAATCGATTAATGATAGCCCATATGACTTCATGATCGTGTCTTGATCTCTATAGTCAATTATGATATTGACCTCCAGAGCAAAAAGAAGAAAATAAAAATAAAAATAAAAAATGGCCTAAATCATTACCTCTTTCAAAATCCGGTGGCTCATCCCAAATCCCTGCTCAAATCTCTGCAAATGGCGTTGGAACTCTCTCCACATGCGTGCTCCATCCCAATTTATGCATACAAGCTATATTCCTCTTGATTCCTCTCAGTCTCATGCTCTCAAAAACCTCACAAGCCCTCTAGCACCGAACTCCTGCTTCCACGACATCTGATCAACTCCAACACACGATCTTCTTCCCGAACCCTGTCGAACTCCCTTTGCTGGCGAGAGAAGCCCACCTATACTCTCTATTCACTCCCGTCATTCCGCATACAAGTTGCAAACCAAACCCTGATCGAACTCCATTACAAGCTGCATGTCGATCTGCCTCAACCTTCGATCCTCTAGCAGATCAACCGAATCCCACGACCCTTCCAAGACCTGGCCTGCTGCTATACCCGACACCTCCTTAAGTCGAAGGCCATGACCCTCAAGCCGTTCGACTTCTAATCCCACAACCGGATTGACCTAATTTCCATAGCCCTCTGACCGTTGAGCTACACCTCATGATCGAAGACCTCCGCCTTTGCCTCACAGTAACTCCTCAATCGAAAGACTTCACACTACTTACCTTCGATCTCCATAGCTCGTAAGCTGCTAACTATCCGAACTCTATGATAATCATCATCATCATTATTGTCATTATTAATACTTGAAATAATAATAATAATATCATCATCATCATTATTGTCATTATTATTACATGAAATAATAATAATTATTATGATTATTATTATAATAATTATTACTTTAATACTATTATATTTATTATTCAAAAAAAAGGGAAAAAAAGGAGAAAATAAAAAAGAGAAGAGAGGAAAAGAAAGATTTTTGTGTGTTCGATCCCTCGCCATTGTCTTGATATTCGTGCCACTAACCTCGTCATCACCTCGTCAGGTATAATTTCTCCAAACTCAGAAGACCCCGAAAATCCTATTTTTGATGCTTGCAGCATGCTAGGGGACCTCATATACACGCTCTTTGTAACGTGGTGGGATGAAATCTAGTGCGATGCTTGCGGCGAGGCGGGTAAACCTTGTACACAATTGATTTCCCGCTCTTTGTAGCATGGCAGAGATAATTCTAAGTACCATTATGCGACTCAGTGCTTGCGGGAAATCAATTGTGTATTTTTAAATAGGTAACTCGAAAACCCATACATGCTCTTCGTAGTGTGGTGGGGGTTGAAGATTCACGGCCGCAGTGTCATCCGACACCTACCATACATGCTCTTTGTAGTGTGGTGGGAAGGCCCAGACTCTTGGATTTCTGCTAAAAGGGAGAGGTGCCAGGAGGCT